GAGTGTAAGCATCTTGCCATGTTTTCTGACCATAGCTGTTTTATCATTCATGAAATGCTGGTTCATGGTTTTTGCCCACTTTTCTCTTGAGCTGTTTATCCTTTTCTGTTAGTCCCACTATTTGTCTGTTTAAAGATTTATTTATTTATTTTAGAGAGACAGAACACGTGCAGGGAGGGGCAGAGGGAGAGAATCCTCAAGCAGACTCCCTGCTGAGCGTGGAGTCTAACTCGGGGCTTGATCTTATGACCCCTGAGATCAGGACCTGAGCCGAAACCAAGAGTCCAACCCTTAACCAACTGCTCAGTCAAGGAACCCTTATTTGTTTTTTTGTTTTGTTTTGTTTTTTGCTTTTTAAATTTTATTCTTATGTTAATCCCCATACCTTACATCATTAGTTTTAGATGAAGTGTTCCATGATTCATTGTTTGTGCACAACACCCAGTGCTCCATGCAGAATGTGCCCTCCTCAATACCTACCACCAGGCTAACCCATCCTCCCACCCTATTTGTTTGTTTTTTAAATAGGCTCCACACCCAACATGGGGCTTGAACTCACGACCCTGAGATCAAGAGTCGCATACTCTACCCACTGAGTCAGCCAGGCACCCCTAGTCCTGCTCAATTTCTTTTTTCTCCTTCCCTAACCTTTAAAAAAGCTTTTTCTGTGTTTGTTTTCCTATCCTACCCTTTCCTCTCTATTGAAATGAAATGTATACATTCCAGTTTTATTTTTTTTAGTTGTTATCCTTTAACTTTTACCATGCACATTTAATTAACAATGTCTAATGTTAAGCAATATATTTACTCACCCCCATTCCTCCCAAGTGCAAGGGAGGAATGTTTAGAACACGTTGCCTTGGTCCCCCCCCCCCAAACACACACGCATATACTATTTTCCAGCATTTCAGACCTGTTTTTCCTCAACATCAGAAATAAGTCAGTATTCTTTTACACAGATGGTTTTTGAATTGATGTTACCGACATTTACCATTCTATGGGTTCACCATCCCTTCTTGCATCTCAGGCTGACTTTCTGGAATTATTTTCCTTCTTGAAGAACCATCCTAGGGAAGTTTCTCTGGATGCACTCTCAGCTTCTGGTTACCTATAAATGTAAAAAAAAATACTTTTTTCTTTTCTTTCCTTTTTGGTTCTTGAAAGGTACTTTTGCTGGGCCTCTCTCTGAGTTGACATTCATTTACTCTTATTACTTTTCAGAGATCATTCCAGCCTTTTAGCTTCTGTTGTGGTTGCTGGGAAGTCGGCTCGAGTTCCATCATCCCTTTTTGGATGATTTGTCCTCTCCGACGGCCTTCAATATTTCTCTGCCTTTGGCACTCTGTGGTTCCAACAAAATGTCTGTAATGCCTGCCTTTCTTTTTGTTTATTATGCTTCAGATACTTCGAGCTTTCTGGTGCCGTGGATCTGTTTTTCACCGTTTCTAGAAAATTTTCAGCCATCATGCCTTCAAATGCTGCTTTTTCTCTATTCCCTTTATCTTCTACTGGTGGGATTCCAATATGTAGGATCTTCTCATTCTGTGTTCTGTCTCTTTTAATCTCTCACTCGTATTATCCACCTCCTTTTCTCTCTCTCTGCTGCATTCTTCATATGCAACTGCTGGCCCAGGAATTCTCTACCCAGCTGTTGACCATTCACTAAATTTCAGATTTTGAAATTATGTCCTTCACTTCTAGAAGTTCCATATCTTCTTCTCCCAGATCTCTCTCTTCATCCCTACTTGGTTTTATATGCTCCCCTTTGTGACTTTGTCCTGTCTTTTTTTTTTTTTTTAAGATTTTTATTTATTTGTCAGAGACAGAGAGCACAAGCAGGGGGAGAAGCAGGCTCCCCGCTGAGCAGGAAGCCCGATGAGGGACTCGATCCCAGAACCCTGGGATCATGACCTGAGCCGAAGGCAGACGCTTAACCAACTGAGCCACCCAGGCGTCCTGTCCTGTCTTTATTTAAACATGTCCCACGTGGCTGCTCTGTGTTCTGTCCCCGGGGGTCCACTTGTGGTGCTCCTTTGGTAACTTGCCTTCTTGTGACTTGGTAAGTCTTGTATGTCAGCTCATCAGCTGGTCTTACTCTGCCAGGGGTCCTCCTGGTCTACCTGGGGGAAGTTTTGCTCCACATTGAGTTTGCTTTTGCTCTTGCTAAGAGCAGAGGGCTCCCCAACCCAGGACCGTCTCCCCACCCCGCCCCCCTTGAGAGTTTTTCCTCACAAAAGACACAAGCTCCCATCTTCCCCATCCCTAGATTCCAAAGGTCACTATCACCATGCAGCCAAAGCTCCAGAGGACACTGGCCTTGGGACTCCCCAAGCAAGCAGCCTTCAGGCCAGCTCACTGACTCTCTCCTGCCAACTCCATGGCCTCTGGGTTCACCCTCCAGCTCCCTCTGCTGGAACCCAAGCCCCCAGCTCCTGTGTTCCCTCTCCCTCCTTTATCTTTCTTCATAGCATGAGGCACCACTAATGATATCATATTGATTTGTTAAATGGCTTATTGGATGTCCCCCCTCCCATGTGGTGGCTTGCTCATTTACCTGTGCAGTGTCTGGATGGGAGAAGTGCCCCCACAATTACATGATGCATCAGTGAATGAATGAGGCAGTGCCCACCCCCACATGCTCTCAGGCTGACAGGTGAGACAAAGCAGGAGACAGAAAGAACTAGTGCCATGGGGGAGGGAGGGCTCGTGGAGCCGAGAGAAGACCCCACCCTAGATGCTGGAGGTCAGGGGCAGCTTCCTAGTCCAGACGCGAGGAGGTCAGGGAAGTACAAAGCAGAGAGCTTAAGGTCGCGTTGTCATCTTTCCACAAATGAAAGGCCTGAGGGACGGTGTTCCCGGCGAAAAGAACAGCTTGTGCCAAGGCCTGAGGAGAGAAAGAACCTGCCGGAGGAACATAGTTCAGCGTGGCAGCTGCAAGGAGGATGAGGAAGGAGCGGTGGGCGATGGGCTGGAGCAGAGGGCCTTTCGAGCTCCTGTGGGGAGTTTGGCAATGAGGAGGGACAGAGCGTGGAAGGGGGTCGGCAGGGAAGGGTGTGATCAGGCTGCAGGGTGGAAATTCCCTCTGGCTTCTGAGTGAAGGGGGGACTAGGAATGGGGAGGCGGGGAGGCCAGGGAAGAAGCTCTGCAGTGTTGGAGGCTGGGCTAGGGTTGATCCCAGGGTAAGGGCACAGCACAGGGCAGACCCCTCAAGCACCCTATTTGACCTTGGCTGGAAAGGGGAGGACTGGGGAGGAGCCTGGTGCTGTCAGCCTGAATGTGAGGGCTTGTTCAATTGAAAGAGGGGCTCCCCAGTCAGCACATATGGGGTTCATTTGAAGGGTAAAGAGTACACACCCTGGACGCCCACACTGATGCTCCTTTACAGTAGGGTTGTCAGGGGCATCTGGCTGGCTTGGTTGGTTGAGTGACTGACTTCGGCTTGTGTCATGATCTCAGGGTTCCCAGATGGAGCCCCACATCAGGCTCTGCACTCAGCGGGAAATCTGCTTGTCCCTCTCCCTTTCCCTCTGTCCCACCCCTGCCCCAGCTCATGCTCTGTCTCTCTCTCTCTCTAAAATAAAGAAAATCTTTAAAAAAAATAAATAATAGGTTTGCAAGACAGCAAAAGAAAGGGTTAGAAAAGGGGCGCCTGGGTGGCTCAGTAGGTTAAGCGTCTGGTTGGGCTCAGGTCATGATCCTGGGGTCCTGGGATTGAGCTCCCGCTCCTGTCAAGCTCCCTGCTCAGCAGGGAGTCTGCTTCCTCCCCTTCTCCCTCTGCCCCTCCCCACCCCACCCTGCTCATGCACATGCTCTCAAATATTTTTTTTTTTTTTTGAGACAGAGAGAACGAGAGAGAGAGCACATGAGAGGGGGGAGGGTCAGAGGGAGAAGCAGACTCCCTGCCAAGCAAGGAGCCCGATGCAGGACTCGATCCCAGGACTCCAGGATCATGACCTGAGCCGAAGGCAGTCGCTTAACCAACTGAGCCACCCAGGCGCCCCACATGCTCTCAAATAAATAAAATCTTAAAAAAAAAAAAAAAAGGGGGGGGGGAAGACAAGTATAGGATGCCCAGCTAAATTTGTATTTCAGATAAACAATGAATAATTTTTTAGTATATGTCTTCCAAACTTAGCATTCTGTATTTTCACTGGCAACCCTGCTTCCAACCCCCACCCCATCACATGCAAACACTAGGCCTTTCTGATATAGCAGCAACCAAACAACCCAGAAACCTCTAGTACGTGGCCCCCCTGGCGTCCATTTGTCCTCCTACCCGTTCCATCTTCCCACTGGTCTGGAAGCCCCCCAAGAACTGGGCCCAGTGCCCGGTGTCCAGGCTAGGGCAGGCCGGGACCCTGCTGGGAGTGACGAGAGGGCAGGGAGTCCCAGCAGGTCTCCCCCATCCCTGCCCCCCCGTACCCGGTGGGGCATTTCTGGGAAGTGAACCGTGCCTAGAGCCCGGACCCCCATGATGCTCAGGGCCACAAGCCTGGCCCCATTTCCTGGAACTACCAGAACCATCCCTTGTTACTGTGGCCACATCCTCCCTTGGGTGGCCCTGGGCTTGGTAGAGTCTAAGAAGCTGGGCCTGAACCAGTGGGGTGGGCCAAGTCACAGGCAAGGCCCAGCTGGGTCACCACTTCCTGGAGCTGCTCAAGACAGGGGCTGGGACTTCCCATGATTCCCCTGCACCCCATTGGTGTGGGAGCCCCCCCACGGCCCAAGGAGCCTGGTACCGCTCAGGACAGGGCTTGACCAGGACAGGGGGGCTTGGATGGGGACTCTCATCACCCTGAAAAAGGTGGGGGGACACTCTGTCTGGAGTCAGAGCAGAGGCCACTCTAGGGAAAGTGGGAGAGGAGGTGACAGAGCTGAGGGACAGCAGGCCGTGCCTAGCGAGGAGCTGGGCCTGTCGGGTTGAGCAGACCCAGCCCTGGACTTTAGATGGCTTGCCCTCTCAGTCGACTCTGTTAAAAATAATAGCAAAAATACGAATGATAACAATAATAATTATTTATTGAGCACTTTCTACTTGCTAAGCCTCTTTCTTTGGATTCTTTTTTTCGTCTTCAAAATAGGCACCACGACTGCCCCTATTTTACAGATGGGAAGACTAAGGCACAGAAGGCTTGAGTGGCTTGTCCACAGTCACATAGCTAGCAAGTGGCAAGGCCATTTGAGCCCAGGCAGTCCAGCTCCAGAGCCTCCGGCCCTCACCAGCGGGCAAAGGGCTCTCTGCATCAGGGAATGAACAGAGGGCAGAGGATCCCCCCAGGAGAAAAGGGATCCGGCTCCAGTACCCTCACCGTGCCATCCAAAGTCATTATTACCTGTCTGGCGGCCTGGAGCGGGGCCCCGAGAGCCTCCCTGCGCCCACCCATTCTAGTGCCCCATATGCCCAAGACCCCAAGAGCCAGAGCGAACAGCTGCGTCGGGAAGAGAGAAGTGGCTGTGTAAACAGGGCGGGAATCCTCTCTTCAGTCACTCAGCAGGAGCAGTCCTGGAAGCAGGGCCCCTCCATCTGGTGTCACGTCCCCGGACAGGTGACAGTATTTCCAGATCGGATTTGGGAGCCAATGACTTCCGAGCACGGGCCCAGAGCTCCCCCTGGTGTGCAGCCTGGGAATGGAGGTGGCTGCAGGAGCCTTCTCCCTCTGGGCCGGACAGAGAGGTCAAGGGCGATGGTGATTCTCTACAACGGGAGCCTGAGCTTGGGTTTGGACTCCATACCCTCACACCTACCAGGGGCAATTCAAACCTACCCAATTATCATATGGCCAGGCCCCGGGCCCAGCTGGCTCAGGTGGAGGGGGAAGAGGCTCTGCCCTCCTATCCCCAGGAAGCGAGGGGAGGCAGAGCAACACCCAGCGCTCTGGGCCTGGGGAAGCCGTGGAGGTTGAGAAGCCTCCCTGGAGGCCGCAGTGGCCTCTGGTGCCCAGCAGCTGGCCTGCCACCTTCTCTGGGGGAGGCCGGAGTCTCGGGCTGCAGGCGGCCTGAGAGGCCACAGCTTCTGGGCGAGGAGGCCCAGCCTACAGCATCGTCTGGGAGGAGCTGAACGCCTCCATCTCTGCCTCCACCTCTGCCTCGGAGCGACACCTGTGGGAGCAGAACCACAGGAAGAGGAAGAAACCTGCAAGCGAAAAATGGGTCAGTGGGAGACTGGAAGGAGCGATGTGGGGCCTCACCCAGAATCCAGGGACTTCCTCAGTGGGGCTGAGCTGGGCTTCCCTAAAGCCCAGGAGTAATTCTCAGAGTCCCTCACTGTTGGAAGCCAGGAGGGGCAGAGCATAGAAGCTGGACGACCAGTTGTCAGGAGGCCAGAGGGCGCCTTTGTGCAAATTAGGAGGACATGCCCCTTCCTGTGGACAGAAGGAGCCCCAAACCAGCTCGGCGGGGAGCGGAGCGGCAGCGGGGGCTCGATTTCAGCCCCTGACTCGCCCCCTTGACCTGAAGCCTTGAGCAGTCAACATTTGACCGGCCGAACACCACCCCCAGGGCTTCCTGCACGCCTCCCGCGGGCCCTACCGTAGAGTGAGTTGAAGGTGGTGAAGAGGAAGAGCTGGGGCAGCAGGAAGACGCCAAAGGAAAAGAAAGCCAAGGTCCAAGTGGTGCCCAGCAGCACGGTGAGGCCCAGCACCGTGAAGCTGTCCCGGCAGGCCCGCGTGTTCAGCACCTTGTCCCGGGCCCGTAGCCGATGCAAGACCCGCAGCGCCCAGACCAGCACCACCAGGTTAAAGAGGGACGTGAGGCCACCGTAGCCCATGACCAAGATGTTGTGCACCCAGGGGTTCCGTACCCAGCATCTGCAGGGAGGGGTGAAGTGCCGGGGTTGGCGTGGCTCCCCAGGCCGGGGGGGCGGGGGGCAGGGAGGTGGGTGGGGAGACCCCGGTCTCTGGGCCTATGGACGGGCTCCTGAACCTGGTCCCGTCTCCCAGCCCAAACCCATTGTTTCTTGTCTGACCACACGTGTGGTGAAGTTCTGGGCCCGGCTTTCCAGCCAGGCCACCGTGTTAGGGCCCACCTTGCCACCTCGGCCCCTGGCCTGAAGCCCCCCATGTTCTCCTTTCCAGCCACATGGGGCTCTCATGCCTTTACCCACCTGAAAACTCTTCCTCTCCTCCCTTCTCCGTCCTGCCTCTCTCCCCTTCCATGGCCCCCCCAGCTGCCCACTTGTCCAATACTCTTTCAGATCCATGGCCCCGGGGCCCTCTTCCCTGGAAACTTCTCCTCCCAGCCACCGCAAGGTCAGTACCATCTCACCACCATCTCTGTGCAATGGGCGCCCTACCCCAGGGCCCCTCCCCACCTAGAAGGGGCCCACACTCTACGCTCCGAGCCGTGAACAGCTGTGGCAGCTTGGGGCGGCTTGGTGCAGGGGTGCGGACTGAGGAGAAGAGTGAGCAGGAAGACGCCATCAAGGGCCGAGGAAAGAGCAGAGGCCTGGCAGTGGCCCCAGCCCTGCTCCTAGACCCTCCCCGAGGTCTTCACGCCCTTTGTGTCCCCAAGACACCCAGTCAGGCACCGTGTCATATGCTTTCCGCGGATGAGCCCATTCGCTCCTCATGAGGACCCTACGAGGCAGGTGCATAGTCATACCTGCCCTGCAGAGGAGGAAACTGAGGCTCGGGAGCACCCACTAGTCAGAGGCAAAGGTGGGACCTGAAACCCCACGCTCCGAGGCCAGAGCCTGTGCCCGTCACAGCCCCCTGCTCGGGCCCCCGCCGTGAGCTCCTGCCTCCCTTGACCATTATTTGGGGGATTTATCCAAGGGGCTGAGTGTGCTCATGGATCACTCCTTTTCACTGCTACGTAACCATCCGCAGGCGTGGCTCTGTCGCAACTTATTAACCGCTGTCCTGCCGGGGGGAGGGGGGCATTGGAGTTCCTTTCAAGGGTTTGGTTAGTGCTGTCTGTGTTCAGGAACACAAACAGACGTCCTAAGGGCTTTTTAAATGCAGGAGAATAAAAGTCACAAAACCCTGGAGGAGAGGGAGAGGGAGGGAGACTCAGAGAAGCGGGTTCTTAGAGTGGGGGACTCCGTGACAGCCCAGCAACACCGTGCTTCCTGGCCCCCTCCCCAGTCCTCCAGCTCCTGGCACGCGGTATATAAAAACTACACGGTTAAGGAGCCCGAAGTCACACCTCCTCTGAGAAAGCAGCCTGACTCCCACAGTGAGAGGAACGAACCCCAAACCGCCTCGCTTCCTGGAGGCTGGGAGGGGCAGTGGGGGGGCCAGGCTCTGGAGCCAGCCTGCCTGTGGCCAAGTCCCAGCTCTGCCATGGACCACCTGGGTTTCCTTGGGTGGGGTTCTTCAGCTGCCCGTGCCTCAGTTTCCCTAACCGTAAACAGAGGCTAACAACAGGACCTCCTCCTCGCTGCGAGGTTTAAACAGGAGATGGGTCTGCAGGGGTTCGTTCAGCTATTCTCCCTATGTTGGCTATGAGAACCTTCGTAACAAGAAAAAGATAAATGTCTTCGGGCACAGGAAGAGGCAGCCGAGTCTGTGGTGCAGACCCCCCAGGCTGCCCGATGCGCACACACAAGCCGAGCCCTGTCCCTGGGATGTCCCAGGCCCCGCAGCACTCTCTCTGACTAGGAGGGTCTGAGGGCTGGCAGTGTTATGCCAGCCACAGGTCGGGAGCAGCGGAAGCCTGAGCGAGCACAGCAAGGTGCGGGGAAGGGAGGGCAGAGTCCGGCGCAGGCTGAGCTCCCTGCTCAAGGTCGGAGAGCAGGAGGGGGCGCTGGGCCGACCTCTGTGCTCCGCCGGGAGGCAGAGGTGCTGCTGCCCTGGCCTTGGAGGCCCATGAGCAGGCACCAGAGTTCATGCCAGGGCCCCCTAGATGTAGCCAGCCTAGAACAAGAGCCTACCTCTGCAGGGGATCCAGCAGAAGGGGTATGGCAAAGCACCCTGGCAACCACCCCTTCTCTGAGCCATGGCCCCCTCCTTGCCCCACAGCCAGGGCCCTTCCTACAAGGACACCCTGTTCAGAGCCCCTGGGCCCTTCTGCCAGAGCCAGGGAGCCTGCCACAGCCCTGAGAGCACTCACATGGACATGTTCCGGAAGCCCGTGCCATTTCCCTGGCTGTCGGAGAGTGGAATTGTGTGGGGTCCATACACTGAGCTCTTGACAACAAGAAGGAACAGCACCAGGAGGGCCGGGACTCCTGAGAGGTGAGACAGAGGCTCAGCACATGTCAGGTGACCCCAAAAAGGGCTGGTCGTGCTAAAACAGAATTCCACTGAGCAAGCAGGGAGGGGAAGGGACTGTTCAGAGGCCCTAGCCTCTGCCATACGGTCCAGCTTCAGAGCACTTAGCCTGGAGGTCTTAGAAGAGGCTGCTCTCCAAAATGGTGTTAGTGAGGGCTCTAGGGTGGGATGATAGTGGGAGTGGTGGTGGGGAGATGGAGCTAATGGGACAGAGGGTTGGGGGAACTCGTGAGGAAACCGAGATAGTCAAGAGGGGCTAGGATGGGGATCGAGGGGCCAGTGATGGTGGTGCCAGAGAGAGTAGGGAAGATGAGGATGAGGATGGTGGTGATGATGGAGGCGGTGGTGAAGGTGATGGTGGAGTCAGAGGTAGAAGCAGTAGATGGTGGTGTTGGAGGTAGACATGGTAGTGATAATGGCGGAAGTGATGATGGTGTTGGAGGTGTAGTGATGGTGGAAGTGTTGGAAGTGATGGTGATGGAAGTGTTGGAGGTGGAGGGGATGGAGGTGTTGGAGGTGGAGGGGATGGAGGTGTTGGAGGTGGAGGGGATGGAGGTGTTGGAGGTGGAGGGGATGGAGGTGTTGGAGGTGGAGGGGATGGAGGTGTTGGAAGTGATGGTCATGGAGGTGTTGGAGGTGGAGGGGATGGAGGTGTTGGAGGTGGAGGGGATGGAGGTGTTGGAAGTGATGGTCATGGAGGTGTTGGAGGTGGAGGGGATGGAGGTGTTGGAGGTGGAGGGGATGGAGGTGTTGGAAGTGATGGTCATGGAGGTGTTGGAGGTGGAGGGGATGGAGGTGTTGGAGGTGGAGGGGATGGAGGTGTTGGAGGTGGAGGTGGCAGTGGAGGTGTTGGAGGTACAATCGATAAGAACAGTAGAGTAGAAAGTACTGGTGAGTGTTGACAGGGATGATGAACCATGCTCATGATGTGGTCACTAGGATGAGGAAGAGGAGAAGAGAAGGGCAGGAGGGGGTAGCCGCCCTATCTGGCCGGAAGCCTCAGGAAGCAAGAGGGGAGGGAGGCTCTGCTTACCCCAGCCCACCGCACAGAGCTTGAGCAAGTATCGGCGGATGTAGATGTTGTAGACGCGCCCAAGGAGGAGGTAGAGGTTGAAACCTTCGATGGCCATCCAGGTGAGGCAGCTGAGCAGAGCAAAGTGCAGGAGGGCGGCCAGCGCTGTGCATGCTGCCCCGGACTCGGGGGGCATGGCCAGCTCAGAACTCAGCAGGAAGGCGACATTCAGGAGCAGCACGGAGGCATGCAGGTTCATGTGGATGCGTGTTATGGAGTCACCCTGCTTCCTGCGGGTGGAAGCAGGGCCCTCCGTGGCCTGGGGACATCACCCAGGCCGTGCCACCCCCTCATGGACACACAACTGAGGTTGAGGGGGGCAGGGACAGAACAACAGCCACACGGCAAGGCTAGTCTCCTGCCTCCCAGCCTCCATCCCCATGAGAAGCCCACCCCCCTCTGGGGGCTCAGTTAGGTAAGAAGGAGGGGTGCTGAGCAGCAGTGGGTGGGCAGGCCTGGCATGGGGGCAGGGGCATACCTGGCTTGGCAGTGCAGCAGGGTAGTGAGAAGTGAGGCCACGATGGAGATGCTACAGCCCACCAGGGAGATGTACGTGAGAGGCGCCAGCAGCTCTATTGGGACTGGGGCCAGGGACAGTTGCTGCAGGAACGAAGGGGGAATGGGAGACAGAAGCACGGAAATGCCCTCCCCACGGTGACAGGGACCTGCTAAGACCTCAGCTCCAAACTCCCCTGTCTCACCACAAACCTCACCGTGGTCCCGGCTTGAAAAAAAAAAAAAAAGCCCTGGCAGACACAGTGGCTTTTGCCCACCTCAACTCCATCTCCCTTTTCTCTATGAGAACCTCCCCTCCTTCACTGTCTATGCACATGGGCGTTCCCACTGTGTGTAGACAGGTGCACCAGGCCTGACTTATCAGAGCCCCCCCTCCTCCTGCCCAGTGATTGGTTGAGGGATGGGAATGTGACACACTCCAAGGCAGTGGGACTCTAATCCCAAGACTAGCTGGCAGAATTGGGTAAGAGAAGCTCTCGTTCTACTCGCCTAAAAGATAGTAGGACATGAGCCTGGATCTGCTAGCAGCCAAATTATTATCCTGTGGGGAAATCCTGTCTGAAGGCTAGGCCAGCACAAAGCAAGCACAGTTGGGAGACAGAGCTAGAGCCCTGTCTTGGTGATACTGAGTGTCTGGATCAAGCCATGCCTGAAGCCTAACATAGTTTCTTCAGCAACATGAGTTCATAAGTTTCTTTTTGCCTCCTTAAGCCCATCTGAGTTGGATTTTCTGTCCCCTACACCAGCCTTTGCCTGCTCCTTTTGCTTAGACACGGGGCCCTTTATAGCTTTTACTCCCCTCACCAGGACTGGATGCACACATACCATGAGAACAGCAAAGTAGCTGAGGTGATTGCAGCGGCAGAGCACCTGGGAAGGTGAGGGCTTCTCTGTGCGACAGCCCTCGGGGCTCCAGAGCCCCCAGTAGTGTTCGCTGGCTCCTTCCTTCCAGAAGACACAGGTCACCGTGTGGCCTTCCTAAGGGGAGAGGCTGGGGTTGGGTGCATCCAAGGGGTGTGGGGGATGGCCGTGGGTCAGAGTCTGGAAACTGTAGGGGCCAAAGTTGATTCAACTGCACCCTAATCAACATTTTACCAGATACTGGCTGGGCTTTGGCATCAGACAGACCCAGATTCCAGCCTCACCTCTACTCTGGACTCTCAGAGTGACCTGGGCAAGTTGTCGAGCTTCTCTGAGCCTCAGTTTATTCATCTGCAAAATGGGATCATCTATACCCAAGTCTCAGGGATGGTATTAAATTACAATCAGTGAGGAATCTTAAGGGTCCAGCTCTGGCTGGACAGTAGGTGCTCTATAACCAACTGTCCCCTTTTCCCTCCTTCCCATGGGGAACAACAATGGTGCAGACCCATGCCCAGTGTGGGGGAGAGACTCACATGCAGACAACCCTGAAGCCAAGCCATGTGGGTGGACGGGTGGGGGGAATGACACAGGCAGTGCCATGGAACACCACTGAGGAAAGAACCTTTGCAGGGGCAAAGGTTCAGAGCAAAGAAAGGAAAGGATGATGGAGAAATTGAGAGTGCAGCGCAGTCCTGAAGAGGCTAACGGGAAGTCAGGGCAGACCGTAGAGGCTCTGGGCTTTTCAGGAATGCCAGGGCCAGAAGAGCGGAGGCATCAGAGCTTATGCCCACCCAGCAGCCCTTCTCCCTTCCTCCAGGATCAGCTTCTGCACTTCTCTGGAGGACCCACGCCTCCCCCCATGGCAGGTCAGATGAATCCAGCCCAGTCCCTGAGCCATGTGACCTGGGCCTGGCCAATCCACACGTTCCATCGACCTGGTTCAGAGATGGACACGTGACCCAGCTGGACCTTTAGGTCTCCATTCTGGGACCCTGGTTTGCACTGATGAAGAAGAGCCTGCTGGGAAGAGGGGATAGAGGTCTAGCACTTTAGCTGCCATCTTGCCAGAGCAGAGAGGCAAGGCAGGAAACCATTGGTGAGAGATGGAAAGAGGCTGAGCCAGGATGGCATTATATCAGCCCCTGGATCCAGCCATGCCTGAAGCTTGACAGCTCTGGACATTTCATTTATGGGAGATGATCAATTCCCTTTTGTGCTTAAGCTGGCTTGACTTGGCTTTGTATCACTTGCAACTCAAAGAGTCCTGCCTAGGGGGCGCCTGGGTGCCTCATTTGGTTAAGCTTCCCACTCTTGATCTCAGCTCAGGTCTTGATCTCAGGGTCCTGAGCCCAAGCCCTGCATTGGGCTCCACGCTGGGTGTGGCGCCTACTTAAAGAGAAAAAAAAAAAAAAAAAAAAAAATCCTGCCTACTGCAATAAGTAAAAGCTTCTCTCTGATTTCTTTGACAGGAATTTTCAAACTGTGATAGATTTGAAATTGTTTGTTTTCAAAATGCTTCCACAGATTTGGGTTTAGTCAAGCCAAAATTCAACAGGAGAGCCACAAGGGGGCAGGGGTGAGGTGGAAATGGGGGCACCTGCCCTCCCAAAAATACCAGGCTTTGGTTGTGCCAGAAGCTGATGTTGATCGGCTCGCTGAGGTTGCTCACGTGTCCATGACCCAGCTGGGCTCCCAAGACATAGTTATTGAGCAGAGATGAGTTGATATTCTGGAAGGACAGCAGAAGAAGGGCTGACTCCAGGGGACACAGGGAGAGACCAGCTGAGGGCTGAGAGCCCCCCTTCACCAGCCCCTTCCCCCAAATGAGAGCAAGCAGCATGCCTGTCACGTGTCCAGCATGGGCCAGCCTCGCAGCCTTCACATACGCTGTCCCCTCCACCTAGAAAGCTGTCCTCTCCGTCCAACTCTCTGTCATGTGTTGAGTGGATTCCAGCCTCCATCCCAACTAACCATTATCCTAACTCACTTTCAAAGCCAAGGTTAAAAGGCACCTTTGTCTATCTCCCACCTAGGGACAGGCGCACACGTAGGTTCCCTATAAGTGGGCCTTCCCACCATTCTCCTCATACTGAGGCCCAGAAGGGGCAATGGCTGGGTGCACGATGGGCTGGTCCCACCAGGTGCCGGTCCCTGCCCTAAGGTCAGCTGATGGCATGGATGCCCACAGTGCCCCTAGGAAGGGGCCGGCGCCCACCCTGCTTGGCCCACCAAGGCAGTGACCTGGAAAAAGTAGTCCGTGAAGAAGTAGACGCAGATGAGACGCAGCTCCCTCTGGGGGGTCCTGCAGGCGTCCTGGGTCAGCTCGGCCGGGAACTGCATGGCATGTGAGACCTGCGGAGGGGCACGGACAGGCTGAGCCTGGTGTCCACGGCCTGCAGGGCCAGCCCCAGTGCCTTCACTGCCCCCCACTTCTTACAAAGCCTGCCTGGCCTTACCCCAGGCATTTCATTCCTCCTAGCCACCACCTAGGACCCTGGATTCCCTGGCCTCTCCCACTGCTGCCTCCTCCACCCCCCACAGACCTGCAAAAGCAGGAAGAGGACGCCGCCCTTGAGGGGCCACAGGGGACCCCCTTTCCCATCATTCGCATGAGGAACATCAGCCCCATTTTACAGAGGAGGCACCTCACAGCTGTGAGGCCAGACGAGATTAGTTTGGGTGGGGGGAGGGGAGTCCAGACCGTAAGCCCATGGAGGATTTCTGGGGTAGAGGCACTGGCTGCCCCCCGGCCCCCCGACCATCTCTGACCTGGGGGACCCGCTCCAAGGTGGTGCTGCTCAGTGACAGGCCTGTGAAGTTGCAGCCCAGCTTGAAGATCAGTGACTGGATGGTGGGCGTCTGCAAGGTCAAGTTGCTGCCCCCGAAGCTGGCGTTCAACAGCCTGTACTCCAGGCCCCGGATGAGGCTGAGGGCGAGAGAGCTGACCAGGGTCCCCAGGCGGCTAGAAGGGCGGGGCCTCCCCCAACCGCATCGGCCTCTCCCATCTCCGGACCTCTGCACACACAGCGCCCCTGGCACCCCCTTACCTTTCCACCCCACTCATCCACGTCTCCTGATTACCTCTCTTTCTGGTCCAGCTTTGTTGACACCTCCTTCGGGAAGCCTTTTCTGGCTTTTCTCTGCTGGCTGAGTGAAATGCCCCATAGTGCCTGTGCTTCCCTGACCACTCATCAGCACTATCCCGTCACCCGCAGCTGCGTGGCCATGAGATCACAGGCCTTCGAGAGCCCGATTCGAGTCTTACATCTCCTTCCCAGAAAAATGCAGAGACCCAGGATTCTGCACCGGGTTTCATGGCATCCATAGTTAAAGACCCTCAACCAGAGAGCAGACTTGATGAGGGCAGGACATGTTTATCCTGCATCTCCAAAGCCCAGTGCCAGGCACACAGTAGGTACTCAATAAATGCATGTTGCATAAATGATTAATGGTCCACACTGGACAACCCCGGACCACTGATTCAAGGCTCGAGCTGGGGGTGGGAGGCACAGCTGAATCCGGGCAGACAGGAGGGCCTCCTGACTCACTCAGCAAGAGAAGTCGAGTTGCGGCTTCTGGACATCACCTCCAGTTTCTCCATCCAGAGCAGGGGTTCTTGGGATGTCTCTGTGGAGCAAGTCAGACCTCCACTTCAGCCTCTGTCCCTGGGCCTTCCACCCCAGCCTCAGCCTTGCTGCTGCCCCAGGAGGCCGCAGTGCCCCCTTTCAAGCTCCCTTGGTTCGAGGCATCCCCTTTCCACATCACAGCCAGGGGCCCGGGCTAGGATTGCCCCCCAGCTCAGCAGCACCCTCTTACCCATTGTCTCACTCTGAGAAGTCATGAAGCATAGGCAGAGGAAAAAGGCCCCCCAGCAATCCAAGTCGATGCCCATGTCTCTTCCGAGAACTGGCTCCCACCCTAGAAAAGATGCATGTCATTGTCATTATAGTAAGAGAGTGACCTCTCACTTCTAGGTGTCTGGCATGTCCCAAGGGTAGGACATCCAGCATCTTGGTTGATCCTTATTACTCCTGCATTTCACAGATGGGGAAACTGAGGTTCCGGGCGCAAGTGGTCTTGCTCTGCGTGAGGCCCCCTGAGCCAGGTCTCTATGACTCCAGAATCCCTGACCATTTGTTCAGAAATGCCTGCCAGTTGTAGCTCTGCCCATCACTCCCCGTCCCCAAAAATGGCCTCTCTGGGGGCTTCTCCGGGGCCCTGACTTCACCCAGAGGGGAAGCTGCTTGGGAGCAAGCAACATGGAACCCTGTCCAGCTCTGTCATTGATCCACCATGTGACTTTAGGCAAGGCTCTGTTCCGCCCAGCCTTCATTTTCTGTGCTTTTAAAAATAAACTAAGAAACTTCTGCTTGAATATAGCAAATTTATGTCAAACCCCCTGAAACTCCACTAAAATGAGAGTGAGTGAATAAAATGGGCACAGAGCCAGGAAGACAGAACAAGGGGAAAGAAGACAGCAGCAGGCAAGAAATGTTAGCAAAACTCCAGAGGCTCCAAGGCAGGTGGCCACATGGTCCTACATCGAGCAGACCATAAAAAGTTGAACCTGAGTTCCTGCAGTGGGGAGAGGTGTGGCGTGACGGGAGGGGAGAGGGAAGCGGACAGGGAGAAGCCTCACAACCCTGGGAACACTTGAGAACTAGAGGCATCGAGAACCTCGGAAAGCAGGGATGAGGGATGAAGCCAAAAAAATGGGAGATAGACGCTTATGAGTCTCTTTTTTTTTTTAAGAGAGAGAGAGAGTGTGTGCATGAGCTGGGAGCAGGGGGTGGGGGGCAACGGGGCAGAGGAAAAGGGAGAGAGAGAATCCCAAGCAGTCTCCATGCTCAGTAAAGGGTCCAACACAGGACTTGATCTCACAACCCTGAGATCATGACCTGAGCCGAAATCAAGAGTCAGATGCTTAAAGGACTGTGCCACCCAGGTGCCCGGTTGTGAGTCTTTAAAGTGACCAGCTGGGGGGCGCCTGGGTGGCTCAGTTGGTTAAGCGACTGCCTTCGGCTCAGGTCATGATCCTGGAGTCGCGGGATCGAGTCCCGCATCGGGCTCCCTGCTCGGCAGGGAGTCTGCTTCTCCCTCTGACCCTCCTCCCTCTCATGCTGTCTCTCATTCTCGCTCTCAAATAAATAAAATCTTTAAAAAATAAATAAATAAAATAAAGTGACCAGCTGGGGTCCCAGATCTCCTCTGCCACCTGGGGTATCCAGGACCACTGTCACCACCCTACCACCCTCAACCCCACCCCAACATAAAGTTCATTCCCTGGAGAAAGTGCATGATAGAGAATCTGAGGGGAAGGGTGGGATGCCATTCAGGTATAGAAAAATTAAGCCATATTCCTTCCCCACCTCCTTCTCCACTCAGCTTCCAGAAGCCGGCAGCAGCCAGGCGATGATGTTCTAAGGCAGGAGAAAATTCTTCTCTAAAGAACTGGCCATTCCAAGAAAAGTATCCTATAGCTACAGATATTTTGGTGTTCCTCAGTGAAATGGCCAGGACCAAACTTAGGTTAAAGCTTTCCCAGTCATCAACCCTGACAAGCAGTTACACTTTAGTGCTGCACTCTTAAAGATGAATGGTCAACCAAGGATCATTAGTATTTTATTTTATTTTTTTTTTAAAGATTTTATTTATTTATTTGCGAGAGAGAATGAGAGACAGAGAGCACGAGAGGGAAGAGGGTCAAAGGGAGAAGCAGACCCCCCGCCGAGCAGGGAGCCCGATGCGGGACTCGATCCCGGGACTCCAGGATCATGACCTGAGCCGAAGGCAGTCGCTTAACCAACTGAGCCACCCAGGCACCCTTATTTTATTTTTAAAGATTTTATTTATTTGACAGAGAGAGCACAAGCAGAGGGAGACAAAGGGAGAAGCAGGCTCCCCGCTGAGCAAGGAGCCCGATGTGGGACTCGATCCCAGGACTCTGGGATCATGACCCGGGCTGAAGGCAGCCTCTTAAGGGACTGAGCCACCCAGGTGTCCCAGGATCATTAGTATTTTAAAGTATACACCCCCATCAGAAGGCTGCTGGAGGATGCGCTCCAAGAGAATGAGGGAGTAAGTCATGAAAGACAACATAGGGTATAGGAAACCCCACCAGAGAAGAGATGAAGCTACTCCCCAGAAAATGTGGGAAGCTACTCCCCTGGTTGTTGGTTGGACTACAGGACCAGGGTATAGCCTGTCCAGAAGGCAACAGGAGAAAAGAAGTTTCCAGGATGGAAGCCTCTACAAATAAAAGGAGGAGGAGAGTATGCAGATGAATTGGACGAAGTGTACACATCTTTCTGCACTATTTTTGTTGCAACCTCCTGTGAATTTATCATTGTTTTCAAAAGTCAAAGTTCAAAGTTCAGTACAACGGCTTGCCATTTCACTATCAAAAACATGATGTCCGTAGTGACATAAAAAAGGAGCATCGCGTATCATTGCCTAGAAAGAGCCAGCTGAACATAACACACATAATGTAATCACATGCATGGAAATTTATGCTAATATACATGTTTAGGCCTAGGAGAGTATCTAGAAAAATGGTCACCAAAATGTTAATAATGTTATATGGGGAGGAGGATTCCTTTCTTTTTTAGGTTTTCCGTAGAGTCCGAATTTTCTACAGCAAACATGTATTACCCTCACAACAGAAAAATAAGTCTTTAATGCTTAGAATTTTTTATGCTCCAAATGACTACCATTATGGAAAAAATAATGGTGGCATGTTGTTTATGAAAAACAAAAAACATGTTGCAAAGCAATGTAATCCAATCCTTGTAAAAGTCACATTTCTTATATATGCAAGCTCTGAAAGATGCGGGGGTCACTTGTGGGTGGTGAGGTTTGGAGTCTACTTGTTTTGGGTGCCCAGATTTCCTAATGTTACCCTGTAAGTTATAGTTACACGTTTCTCAATTTTTATTTACTCTTCAGGTAGTTGTTGTTGTTTTAAAGAGGCTCCACACCCAGCGTGGAGCCCAACGCAGGGCTTGAACTCACGATCCTGAGATCAAGACCTGAGCTGCGGATCAAGAATCAGATGCTTGACCGACTGAGCCACCCAGGCGCCCCTGCTCTTCAGACAGTTTAGAAATTTACATCTTGCAAATCCAAACAATAAGTAAGTCCACAAAGGCATAAAATGCAAAGTATTCCTGCCTCCTGTGTCACCCAACGACTCCATTCCCACTTAGTCACCCCCAGATAACTACTGCTATTAGTGTTTGGTGAATCTGCCCAAGTTTCAAATAAACATAAGCATATATGATTCTCCTCATCTTATATGAAAAAAAAAAGTAGCACACTCACTACTGTTCTGTACTTCACTTTTCTCGCTTGAAAATACATCTTGGGGAGCTTCCCGTAACAGTACTTAGAGTTTTCACTTTCTCTTCTCCAACTACATAGTCTAACGTTGGAGGGCTAAGCACTAACTTATGCAGCAGGTGCCCTCAGAAGAGCTGGCTGTGTGGTTTCCGGTCTTTGGTTCCTTCCAACAGTGCAGCTGTCCTGACATTTCCCACGTGTGCAAGTTCACCATCTGCCCATTTTTATTTTATGTTCGACTCTTCCTTACCATCTTCTCGAAACCCTTTACATAGCAGGGAAATTAGCTCGTTGTCTGTGAGTTGCAAATATGTTTCCTAGTTTATCATTTGCCTTTAAACATTACATATGGTCCTTTTGTCGTGTAGAAGTCTTTTTTTATGTGTGTAATCAGAATTACCTGTATTTTTCTCTTTTGGCTTCTGGATTTTGAGTCATAGCCAGAAGGGCCTACCCCGCTCCAATTACAAAGGAATTCTCCTATGTTTCTCCTAGGACTTTTGAGGTTTTATTGTTCACATTGGAACCCCTAGTCCATTTGCATCAATCCTGAAGTACAGTATGAGATGGGGATGCGATGTTTTTTTCTGGGTGGTCCCATCCATTTATCTTAACATTATTTATTAATATATGTGTTTATTTGAAAAGAGAATAGAAGGGCTCCTGGGTGACTCAGTCGGTTAATCATCTGACTCTTGGTTTCTGCTCAGGTCATGATCTCAGGGTCGTGGGATTAGCCCTGGTCGGGCTACGTGCTCAGTGGGGAGACTGCTTGAGAATCTCTCTCTCCCTCTCTCTCTGCCCCTAACCCGTGCCACCCCCTCTCTCTTTCAAATACATAAATCTTTTTTTTTTTTTAAGATGTTATTTATTTCACAGAGACAGAGACAGCGAGAGAGGGAACATAAGCAGGGGGAGTGGGAGAAGGAGAAGCAGGCTTCCCGCAGAGCAGGGAGCCCGATGTAGGGCTCGATCCCAGGACCCTGGGATCATGACCGGAGCCAAGGCAGACGCTTAACAACTGAGCCACCTAGGTGCCCCTGAAATAAATAAATCTTTAAAAAGAGAGAGAGAGAATAGAGACTTTGGTTGGAGTCATAGAGTGCTGCGTTCCTATTCATTTGGTCACTTGGTTATTTATTTGGCTGTGTTACCTTGGGCAATTCTCAGAACCTCAGAGAAGAGAGGAGGGAAAAGATTTGATGAGACAAGGGAAGCACTGAATGAAACAATTTGAAATGTTTCAGATGACAAGATTGAGGGCACAATAGGGCAGACTGGATCTTGGGTCATCTTGTCCACCCCCTCACTGTGTGAATGGGGAAACTGAGGCCCAGATCATAATGTGGATTTGACCTCCAGGGTCTGCACCGTAAGGACTGGACCCCAGGCCCTTGGCCACCCTGCTCTGTGTCTACTGAGGGAAGAGGGGCCTAACCCCATGACCAGCTGCAGAAATCAAGGCCAAAGAAGAAGTGACACCTCCTTCAAGTACCCCCAAATAGCTGTGGTTTCCACTCCCTTTTCCAGGGGCAAACCACAATCCTCACTTCTGCTTGAGACTTCCAGCACCCCTCTCCCCAGCCCTTCAGAGAGGCCACCATGCATTGTCACCCCACACCCTTGCCCCTCTCACCATCCACTCTGCAACTCATTATCTGGGGCTCCCCGGGAAACAGAACTCCCTTACCTGATGTCCAAAATGGTTCCAGTTGATCATGGGGAAACTGGGAACCGCACAGGGGTTTGCCTGGGGTTATGGCAGGCCAGTGGTCAGCTGGGACTCAAACTGAGAGCTCCAGGCTCCAAGTCAAGTGCTCTCCCCACGCTGTGCACTGCAGCCTCCCCAAGATGGTTGGGTGGCTGAGTTGCTCTACGGATGAGTAAGACTCTATCTAGGCCAACAGACAGATGAGGAAACGTGCAGAATGCAGGCCAGAGCCTTTGGAAGATGCAAATTTGATAACCATCTCCAGTATTCAGTCCCTGGGCCGTGACATTGGGCAATAAGTCCACTTCTCCATGCCTCAGGGTTTCTCCTCCATAAAATGAGGCCAGAGAGACCTATTTCCCAGGGAGAGAGACTCAGAGACATTTCCACAATCCCCACTACAAGCTTAGGGCTCTGACCCAAAGCCCCAGCCAGGGATATATCTGAGCATAAAACTTGGGACCCCCTGCCTTCTTCCCTGGGGCTGACCATGCATGCCCCCCCAGCCCACCCTGTCTCCGACAGCACCAGGCCTGCTGAGCCAGTCACACCCCTGTACATGGCCCCTCTGCCCCTTCCAAACAGCGACTCCTGCTAGACACGGGCTGGAGCTCCCACTGCTGGCCTCACCCCGGCCTGGGTGAGGAGTGAACCGGTGGTCTCTGCAGAAAATCCCTGACAAGTACCATTCTTAGCCCCATTTTACAGGCAGGGAAAGGGAGGCCACGCCAAGGCCCAACATAGAGTCTGTGACCAAGCCAGCTGCAGAGCCATTTCCCTGAGACATAATATCCCCAAGCTCCAGTCCAAGTCACTCAGAGAGGAACGGCACGTTTGCTCACATTTGCCCAGTAGAAACTTCATGCAGGCCCTTGTCATCCGAGGTACAGGTCACCGGATTAACGCCATTTTACCATTGAGGAAACTGAAATCCAGAAAAGTCTAATAACCTGCCCTAGGCCACGGTGGGGAGCTAGGTTTTGAACCCAGTGTCTAGCCACTCCTTAATTTAAATTGCTCTTTGCCTGGGTGGCTCAGTAGGTTAAGCATCTGCCTTCAGCTTGGGTCATGATCCCAGGGTCCTGCTCAGTGGGGAATCTGCTTCTCCCTCTCCCTCTGCCCCTCCCCTCTGCTCATGTTCTCTCTCTCAAATCAATAAATAAAATCTTAGGGGCGCCTGGGTAGCTCAGTTAGTTAAGCGACTGCCTTCAGCTCAGGTCATGATCCTGAAGTCCCGGGATCGAGTCCCGCATCAGGCTCCCTGCTCAGCTGGGAGTCTGCTTCTCCCTCTGACCCTCCCCTTTCTCATGTGCTCTCTCTATCTCATTCTCTCTCACAAATAAATAAATAAAATATTTAGGGCGCCTGGGTGGCTCAGTTGGTTAAGCGACTGCCTTCGGCTCAGGTCATGATCCCAGGGTCCTGGGATCGAGTCCGCATCGGGCTCCCTGCTCTGCAGGGAGCCTGCTTCTCCCTCTCCCACTCCCCCTGCTTGTGTTCCCTCTCTCGCTGTGTCTCTCTCTGTCAAATAAATAAATAAAATCTTTAAAAAAAAAAAAAATAAAAATAAAATATTTAAAAAAATAAATAAGTAAATAAAATAAAATCTTAAAAAAAATAGATAGATAGATAGATAGATAGATAGATAGATAGACTTCTACATTCCCAGAGATTTGGGAGTTGCCACCAGAGAGTGAAGGGAATGAGGGTGGGTCCCCAGCTGGCTGCCCCCAGGATGTCACCAATCCTGGGCCCACCAGGGCAGGGACACACCCAGTGCCTGCTGGGGACCCGGTAGACGAGGACAGAGAGCTGGGGGAGCGGGGAATAGAGCCTCACGGTGGGGGCTCACCTGAGGGGTCACTGCCGTCCAGCTGCTGGGCCACTACCACCTTCCTGTCCAGAGAGAGAAAGGGAAGTTGGATGTGTGTGCTGGGGCCGCTCAGCCCCGGCCCTCAGCCCTCCCCTGCTCGCTTCACCCTGTGCAGGCACGCTACACCACGCTCTCACTTCACTTCTTCTTTCCCCCGTCAGTAGCCTTTTTGCTTCCTCTGAACTCGTAGCTGGGCAGGGCACCCCTTCAAGAGGTGCTGGTGTCAGTGGGGAGAAGGGGGAGGGCTGGTGCTTGCGCCTCCTAGCAAGATTTCAAGACCCACCTCTGCTCTGCGCCTCTTCCGTCTGTTTCCCCACCTCCAGACAGGAGAGAAGCGCCCCGCCTGACCTAACAATCAATGAGACTGAGATAACCACGACCTCAGGCAAAGGGCCAGGTCCGACTGCCTGGCCTCAAATACCAGACCTGCCATTTACTGGCTGGGGGGCTTTGGGCAAGTGACTGAAAGTCTCGGAACCTCAGTTTCCCCTCTAAAATGGAGCTAAGACAGCCCCACCTCACGGGGTAGTGTGGCGCTTCCGAGAGCTGCAAAGTCACCAGACCCGTGTTTCACAGCTGTGGAAAGGCCTCGCTGGGAACAGAGAGCTCAGATGTGGCCGGGCTGTGGCTGGAGGGCTGGTCAGCCTGTCCTGCTCCAGTTACTTCCCCTGCACAACCCCGAGGGGAAGGGGGAGTGTCTGTGCATTGGTGGGAGGCAGGGTGCTCTCTCTCGCTCTCGCTCAGCCAAACTCCCTGGGAAAAGTCCAAGTCAGGAATGTACTTTCCTACCCCTGGGGTGAGATGGGGATGCAGCAAAGCGGAGAAAGCAGGCAGGTCCCCACAGGGTCTCTCTCCCCTCTCCCCCACCCCAAGGCCCTTCCGGCGCCGGCCCATGCACAACCCACAGGTGGTAGCTCACTCAGGCCTCTGTGGGAAGGGGAAGAGAGCTGCGCCTCAGAGGGCAGCGATATTTGGGGGGAGCACAGACCCACGCCTCCAGGCCCGCTGCTGTGCAGGGACACCTAGGCACCTGGGACCCGACCCCTCGGCTACGCTCCTGCTGGACGACTTGGGCAAGCCCTTGCCTTTCTCTGCACTTTGCTTTTCTGTGGCCATGACCCAGACCATGACCTCCAAGCCATTCCTTCTGAGGTCTCCTAGTCACCTCTGCAGTTACAACACCAGCGGTCTTCCTCTTCGTGCTGTTTGTGAACCCAGGCAGCTGCTGTCAGGGCCCAGGAGGAGGCCCCGCTCACCCTGATGCCCCTCTATTTTCCACCCCGGGATCTGTGCCGCCCTCTCTATGTCTTGCCTCTGGTGGAGTGCTGGTTCTACCTCACCCTGCTCTCCAGACCCTGGACATCATGGCCAAGACACTCCCCAGCTCAAAAGCCACCAGTGGCTCCCTATTCCTTCATTGACTTCATGGTCTAGCCCCATCCAGCTTCTGCGTCCACCCGGTTCCGGATGAGCTTGCCATAGTCACACCCACCTCCCTGCTCTGTTCCAGCTGTGACACACACATGTGTCACCGGTCCTGGGTCCCCTGAGAAGGCTGCTCTGTCTCCAACTCCCCTGTAGAACATTCCAGATGCTTCAGCTTTAGGAACGTGCCAGTCCCTTTTTCAGCACCCCCAGGCAGGGAGGAGGGCAGCAGGCCACCGCCCACCCTCCTCTCTGGGAGGGCCGCACACCATCCCCAGGGATGTCTCTCTCCATAGGGGCTCTCCACCCTGTGATCTGCGAGAGGACAGTAAGGGGGACCCCTAACAGGACTTGCCATCAACTGAGTCGCACCATGAAAAACTCATTTTTTTTAAAGATTTTATTTATTTATTTATTTGAGAGAGAGAGAATGAGAGAGAGCATGAGAGGGAGGAGGGTCAGAGGGAGAAGCAGACTCCCTGCCGAGCAGGGAGCCCGATGCGGGACTCGATCCCGCGACTCCAGGATCATGACCTGAGCCGAAGGCAGTCGCTTAACCAACTGAGCCACCCAGGCGCCCAAAAAACTCATTTTTTAAAAAAGATTTTATTTATTTATTTGACAGAGAGAGACACAGCGAGAGAGGGAACACAAGCAGGGGGAGTGGGAGAGGAAGAAGCAAGCTTCCCGCGGAGCAGGGAGCCCGATGCGGGGCTCGATGCGGGGCTCGATCCCAGGACCCCAGGATCCCAGGATCGTGGCCTGAGCCAAAGGCAGACGCTTAACAACTGAGCCACCCTGGTGCCCCCAAAACTCATCTACTTTTCAGTGTTTTTCAGTCCTGGTTACATCCAGGAGAAGCCTCCGTTCAGAGCTAAATTTTCTCTAACTCCTCTCTCCCACTGCCCTGTGTCCTTATTTTTTCATTCTTCAAACTTTTATTGGACGAAGAAAACTAGGTAACAGATTTTTAATGATTTTTTTTATTGCGGCAAAATACACATAAAATTTACCATTTTAACCATTTTTTAAGCGTACAGTTCAGTGGCCTTAAGTACATTCACATTGCCATGCAGCCATCACCACCATCCACCTCCAGAACTTTTCCATCTTCCCAAACAGAAACTCTGTCCCCATTAAGTAGCAACTTCCCTCCCTCCACCCCCTCCCAGCAGCGCCTGGCAGCCACCATTCTATTCTGTCTCTACGAATTTGAAGTGGAATCATCCAATATTTGTCCTTCTGTGACTGGCTTATTTCACTTCGCATGGATCAGCCTTTCCTTCCTTTTTAAGGCTGAATAATATTCCTTTGAGTGTATAGATAGACCAATATCATTTATCCATTTGTCCCATGACAGACACTTGGGTGGCTTCTACCTTTTGGCTCTTGTGAAAGGTGTACAATCACGTCCCTGTTTAACAAAGAGCAAGTTTCTAGCTAGTTCTCAGTGGCGTTGTTTGTTTACATAGGATTTATTTTTTCTATTTCCTTCTATTTGTGAAAATCGATGCCGATTTCCTGCTTACCCAAAAATACCCATACATCCTACAACATGAAAAGGATGCACAGGAAACGTGCTAGGTATCGATGGAAAAAGTGGCAGCAGGGGTACAAGACAGAACTGCTGGAATGTGGAAAATACCAATCTAGTCCTCCATCGAAAACCCCACTGGGCTGAGCTGGGGAAGGAACCCCCTCAGAGGGCCACCGGGAGGCTGACACCAGTGGGCTATCTGGGCATGTGGGTTCAGGAACAGTGATGACAGGGGTAACATTGAGTCAGATCTGGGCTCTCAGACTTTCTGGCTTTGTGACCCCGGGCCTGTCACTTGACTTCTGATTCTCACTGTTCTCACTATAAGCTGGTGAGGTGGCTGAAAACTAAGATAATTCCTATGAACTGCCAAGCCTCTGGTCTGTACCCATCTTGGTTCCATGACTGGTGGGATCTCCCCACCTGCTGCGAGGGACATTCCTGCGACTACTCCCTTTCTTAAGAGAGAGGGCCCAATTGCAACGTCCTAACTGGAGCTTAGGTTCACCGCTGACTAAGCCTCCTCAACCTTCTCCAGCCCTCCTGCTGCCTCCAGAAGCTCTGGGAAAGAACCAGGGGCTCTTGGCCCATTCCTGTCCTTACCAGCCATGGGACTTTGGATAAGTCTGAGCCAAAAGCCGCCCCCCCCCAACCCAGGATCATTTTCTCAGCTTTAGAACGGGGAGTCCCTGTCCTCTGAGTACTCAATATCTGTCTTTGCTGGGCCCAAGGTACACAGAAAGCAAAGACCAGCCTTGCAACATTCATAGTGGTTTCCTCTCCCACAACACCTACCCCCACCCAAATCTGCCTCCATCAGATGCTATCAGAGTTTAACCACGCAAATATGAAGCAAATGAACTGACAAGCAAAACTGCACATCTTGCAAAAAGTATGGGGTTTCGGGGCCCCTGGGTGGCTCAGTCGGTTAAGCAGCTGCCTTCAGCTCAGGTCATGATCCCTGGGTCCTGGGATGGAGCCCCACGTCCGGCTCCCTGCTCAGTGGAGAGCCTGCTTCTCCCTCTCGCTCTGCCTGCTTGTGCTTTCTCTCTGTGTGTCAAATAAATAAATTAAAAAAAAAAAAAGTGTGGGGTTTCATGAAGTTGATGTGACACCATACAAAAATGAAGCAGAAGCTGACCACAGAGGAAGAGAACATCACTTAGAAATGACCAAGTCCTTCCAGAGAGAACTGCTTAACTAACAAAGGATTCAGAGCGAGGGTCTGTGTGTGACACTCTCCAATATATTTCCAAAAATGACGCTCTTTCTGTCAAGAGCGATTCTTCATTCTAACGTCTGGCTGGTTGCAATCACAATCTGTGTTAATCATGAGCTAAAGCTAATTTTTCTTCAGCACTTTTAGTTTCCTTTTCAAGGCAAAGTCCCAACGCGGTCTGGTTTCCCTCACTATCTCTGTGGATGTTTTTGGTTATCTTTTCAGAAAGATTCACCGTAGGGGTGCCTCGCTGTCTCAGGCAGTGGAAGATGTGACTCGTAATCTCAGGGTCCTGAGTTCAAGCCCCACAGTGGGTGTGGAGCCTACTTAAAAAGAAAAAAAAAAAAAAAGAAGAGAAAAGAAAAAAAGATTCACTGCAGTGGCCTTCCAGGTACAGGATATGGTGAGGAGAGGCGCCCGACCCCATCTCCCGCCCAAACCGCAGACACCTCATTCCCAAGGGCAGAGGAAGCCCCCCAGCCGCGGGGCGCACGCTAGAGCGCCTTACCGTAATTGCCCGGGGACCGCCGGCCCGGCCCTGTCGCCCGCGGTTAGCACCGAGGCACTTCGGAGAAAATCTCCGCGGGGCGGGCCAAGTGCCCCACCACGCTTCTCGACAGGCGTGAGGTTACTCTGATGAACCCTTTTGTGGTACAAAGGGGAAACTGAGGCCCGGTGAAGGGCAGAGCCTCGCTGCTCCGCGGCCACTCGGCGACAGAGCTGGCACTAGGAAGAATGCAGGTAACAAAAGTGAACACTAGGTCAGCGCGCCCCACGTGCTGAGCCCAGGACAGGCGGTGCCCACTTCTGCTGCGGGGCGCCTAGTACGTCCTTGGCGCTCGGGAAACCTGAGGCGGGAAAGCCGAACCCCGCGGGGCCCCCAGACCCTGCCTTCCGTCCCCCCACCCTCGGCCCCAAGCGGGGGTGGGGCCTCCGGCCGGGACCCGCTCGCTCTCCAGCAGAGCCCGCCGCCCCGGCCCGCGCGCCTCGCCCCACAGTCAGCCGGGTGCCCCCACCCCAGCGACTCGGCGGGCCCGGGTCACACTGTGGCCGCCGCTGGCCGGGGCCCCCCGCCCCCGCCCCGCCGTCTCCGTTCCCTCCCCTCCCCCCGGGAGGGAGGAGGAGACTCGGCGGCCCTCCCTCGGCCCTCCAGGCGGCGGCCGCCGCGAGCCCCGTGCCCGCTCCGCCCAGCCGCGGCGGGTCGGACGTCCGGAGCCCGCGGGTCCCCGGCCGAGGTGAGCGGGGGCGGCAGCGCAGGGGGCGGCAAGCCACTGCGTCCCGGGAACTCCCTCCAGACGCCGAGCCCGCGGGAGGGAAGGGGTTAAGTTGGGGGCGTGCTGAAGGAGTGGGGCGCAGCGTCCGCAGCAACCCCCAAACTCCGAGCAGAACTTCCTAGCCCCCTCCCCGGGGTCCCCCCACCACCCGGGGTCCCGGACCTCGTGTGTGGAGGGGCTGCGGGGGCTGGGGGGGAGGGCAGGGCCGCCTTCGGAATGCTGCGGCCAGGGACCGGACGGGAGGGGGGCGGCGGGCGGGGGCGGAATTTGGAACTCTCCCGGGGGACCCAACGTGGTCACCATGGCGAGTGCGGGATGGACGGGCGCACGAGCCAATGGGAGCACGGCGCCGCCGCCCCCGCCCGAGGTAGCCGCCAATGGGGGCCGCGCGGCGAGGAGGGTGGGACCGCGGGGTCAGGAGCCCCCTCTGCCCTCCGCCAGCCGCTAGAGGGAGCGGAGCGTCTTTGCCGGACCGGGGCGGCTGGGGAGGGGGCGAGGAAGTGAGGGCCGACGCGACTCATGGCGTGGGAGGGCAGAAAGCGAATTTCTGGAAGGAGTTGGGGCAGTTAGAGCGATGGCTCAGTGCGAGGGGAATGGAGTGGGCCTCAGTTCCCTCACCGTCCTGATGATGCCAATGGATGATAGCTGGCAAGCCCGTGCTCCGCCCGAGGCTCCTGCTTCTGTATCTTAAGTGTGGGTTGGTTCGGGTTGGTTCACCTTGACACAGGGTCTGCCCACTTGTTGGACAGAGCTTTTAGGAATCTTGGTAGAGTGTCTCCCCATGGTACAGGCAAGGAAACAGGCCCAGACAGGGCAGAAAGTTTCAGATAATCACACAGCCTATCAGTGGCAGAGCCGGGACTGGTGGGATGTCCTTTCTAGCAGAGAGATTAGTTCAAGGAGTTGCTGAGAGGCCAGCTGGCCCGCGTGAAAGGCACTCACTCACTCCATACCATCTATGCCTGGCCACTTGGCCTGATGCCTGAGGACCCCATCCCGTAAGTGTGCCCAGGGGCATCGTGCCCTTAGGTAGACGTAACCCAGGAGGGGAGGCATCCAATCCCAGCACTCCAGCCCCACCCCCCGGGTCACCCCCACTTTGCTGCTGGTCCTCTATGGGGATGTGGGCAAGTAGCTGCTACTCTGGGCCCAAGTTGGCCCATTATAAAGAATGGTGTTCTAAATGTGAACTGGGACATCTTTGTGACTCCTCAGTCTGGGATGGGGATACCTGAGACAGGCCAGGGGTGCCTACCCCGGGGCTCAGGTCTAGCCTACAGGCCCTGCTTACCTCCCTCCCTCCTCTCAGTCCTCTCCGGGTGATCCAGGGGCTGCAGCCCAGGCAGCACGTCTGAAGGACAGGTGCCCGCAGTTTGTGGGCTGACCAGCCTTGGACCCTGCATTTATCCAATCAGGCTGTCCTCTGTGGTTTCCTGCTGGGCTCTGCTCCCTGCCCACAGCCAGGCCTGTGGCCATGGGCAGCTCCAGAGCGCCACCTGAAAGGTTCTGGAAGGACATAGGGGGTTTCTGAGTTTGAGGGAAGAGTTGGGCCAACGGGCGACCCCCAAACCCCTCAGCTGGCCCCCATCCAGGCTTCAGCATTGCTCACTTCTCTCACTGGATATTGAGAGTTATCTAAACACGCTAAGGACAAAACACAAAGTTGTTCTCCTGTGGGCCACTTAGGCTACCTCGGGTAAGAGGACTGATCCCTGACCTGGCCATGAGATGACCTCTGGCTTTGACCTTAGCCACAGACAGTTTCCGACACCTGCCTGTTTCGGAGCCTGGCCACAAAATGACTCCTTATCCTTAGGATCACTCAATCCTCCTTCTTCACTAGGGAACCCCTAACTGTCCATCTTCTATCCATCAGCCTAGAAAGCATTTATGCAGCATCTGCTGTATGCTGGGCCCTGTGCTAAAAGCCAGAGAGACCAAGATTTCCTAGTGACTACTGCTGAAGAACAGGGAGGTGCCAGTGCTTTGGGAACACTAACATACTCTGTGTGAAGTCAGGGAAGGCTTCCCAGAAGAGGATCTTGAAGGATGTGTAGGATTTTGCTGATGGAGAAAGAAGGAGGGAGAGACCTTCTAAACAGTTCCACAAGCAGCAGGAACCACTGGTCACTTTCTGTGGACAAGGTGGATGAGGGCCTAGCCTGAGGCAAGTATGGGATCAAAACATTCTAGTTTCTGTCCTAGAGTGGGCCAGCAGCTGCCTGGGGCAATGAGGATGGCTGTGAGACTGGGGTTCAGGAGATCTGAGTCCCACTGGGGGGGGGACTGCCCAACTAAGGGGATACAAGGTCATGGTTTAGCCTTCTGCTGGCCACCCCACCAGCCAGCTTTAAGCAAATCCTGTATTCAAGGCCTGTCCTAGAAGCGGCCATTCCTAGAAGCGGCGGATGGCACAAGTGTTTCATCTGGGTCAGAGAAGCGCGCGTTACAAGAGGAGAGGGCAGTTGGCCAGATCTGACAGTTTGTAGGGCTGTGCTCCCTGGGGAGCAGTTGGGGCTGAGGAGATCAAGGCATTTCCTGGAGGTGGTAGAACTGAGCTTGAAGGACGGGTGGGGGTTTCAGAGTCGGGGGGCGGGGGCATTCCGAGTTGGGGGAACAGCCTGAGCAGAAAGCCTGAGGATTAGAGCAGGAATAGACCCGTCTGGCTGGTGGGAGGCAGGAGAGGGGAGGGTGGGGTGGGGAAGGCTCTCTGGGGCCTGTGGTGGCTGGTCCCTCCCCAACCTGCTCTTTGGGGGGGGGGTGATGACACCCTAGGGGAATCAGGAGGCCACCCCACATACAAAACACCACACCCTATGGGAAGAAGACACTGAGCCTGGTGGGGAGGGGCCGGGCCGGGCAGCCAGAGCCTGTGTTGAGCTTCTGTGTTGCAGGACTCTCAGTGAATGTGACCGTTACTAGGGCTGTGTGTGTGTGTCCCCAAGGCTATGTCATGTGAATGGGGTGGGAGCCGGGGGGTGAGGGGAGGCGTTGCTAGGCAGGGTCTGGCTGCCCTGAGTCTACACAGGGTGCAGGGTTCCTGGTGTGCTGGGAGCGGGCTTCTCGAGAAAGCCAGCTTTGGGACCCCCACGCCTTCCCCCACGTTGTGCACACACAGCCTCCAGGGGACCCTGGGCTTGCAAGAGGAAAGGCTGGAGGGCTGTCCAGAGCTCCTCTTACCCCCTTGCTCCCCTTCCTCCTCCCCCAGCCCCCAGGAGGGCCTGGGCCAGGCCGCTGGGAAGGGCAACAGGAGCTGAGTCTGGAGCCCACCCCTGCCTTTAGGGTGGGTGCCTGGAAGCCATTAGGACCTGGGTGGCACCCGCCCTGCCCCTGCATGACAGGCTGGCGATTCCTGGAAGGAGCCCGCCCCCACCCCACTGAGCCCCATGCCAGGCCTGGCGGCTCCCAGAGGCACAGAGGACATGGCAGTGGCCCCCTCCCTGCCGCCCTGTCCGCTTAGGGGCGGCCAGAAGGGCCCAGCAGACGGAGCCTGGAGGGCCTTCCTACCACTCCCCATAACCAGCGCAGCTATGGCGGGCGCCGGACTGGCACCCTGGGATTTCCTGCCTCCTCCCCTCCCCCTCGGGCTCTCACATTGTTTTTCTTTTCCAAGAGTTTCTCCTCGTGGAGCTGGGCCAGGAAAATGGGGAGAGGAGGAGTGTGAGTGCCTGTCTGTGTGTTTGTGTATGTCCGTGTTTGTCTTAGGGATGAGTATCTGCATGTCTCTGTCTGTATCCGTCTGTGTGTTGGCCTGCGTGTGTCTCCGGGTGCATCTGTAACTCTCTCTCTCTCCAGGTTAGCATCTCTGTGCATCCGTAGAGCTGTGGGTGCATATGGTCCATCTCTGAGGGTACGTGTGTCTGCCCGTGTCTTCATATCTGTGTTTGTGTGTCTGCAGTTGGGTACGGGCGTGCAGAGATGTCTGTGAATGCAGATGGTATCTGGGCCAGCCACCTCACCACACGGGTGGGGAGACTGAGTCAGAGGGCATGCAGCCTGCCAGGGAGTTAGTGGTGTACGGAACCTACTTCCGTGTGGCCGTGTCTGGGTGTGCAACTTGGTCTCTGCGGGTGTTATTGGCATTGAGACATACAAGTTTGTATGTATGAAACTCTGGGTGGTGACAAGGCATACCAAATATTCAAGTGTCCCCAAATTGGACTATTAAAATGCAAATTCCCAGCCCCACGCCTGCTGACCATGAGTCGGGGCAGGGGAGGAGGGGTGCCCAGGAACTGCATTTTAAACAAGTGTCCACGTGAATCTGAAGGACTCCTTGATCAAACGCACTGGTCTCCCTCACCCCCATCCCATCCCACTTCTACAGGTGGAGAAACTGAGGCCCAGAAAGGGGCAGTGGCATACACGAGATCCGTGACAGAGCTGAGCCTAGAACTGATGCCTGGTGGAGGCAATTAACAAACAGCCAACAGACTAGAGAACGGCAGTAGGGTCGCTGGACCGCACTGAGACGCTGACGGTCCTGACGCCTGTCCACGTGGTGGGAAAACCAGCCGTGCCCGCTGGGACAGGGAGGCAAGATAGGCAGAGCAGTGGAGGTGCCCTGGGTTGGCATTGCCCGGAGAGAAAAGGACAGGAGAGGGGCCGTTGGCCAGGGCGAGAGTAGGGCCATGGAACGGGCGCTGGGCAAGGGGAGAGGGGCTGGGGTGGGCGGTGGGGACAGTGAACAAGTGGTGGGATCAGGGGCTGGAGCCCCTTTTGGGACCGGAGAAGTTTTGGAGTTGGACTCCTAGAGAGCGTGAGCTTGGGCTTCACACTAGAGAGCGGTAGCAGCTATTGCTGACAACAAAGGGTGTGGCCACTGGTGTGATCTGGTTGGCATTTTTATTTTTTGACAGAGAGAGACACAGCAAGAGAGGGAACACAAGCAGGGGGAGTGGGAGAGGGAGAAGCAGGCTTCCCACTGAGCAGGGAGCCCGATGGCGGGGCTTGATCCCAGGACCCCGGGATCATGACATGAGCCGAAGGCAGACGCCCAATGGAATTTTTAAAAACTCCCTCTGGCTGCTGCAGTTCCAAATGGATTTGAAGAAGGCACAGCTTGGGCGCCTGGGTGGCTCAGTCGTTAAGCATCTCCCTCCGGCTCAGGTCATGATCCTGGGGTCCTGGGATCGAGCCCCGCATCGGGCTGCCTGCTCAGTGGGAAGCCTGCTTCTCCCTCTGCCCTCCCCTTGCCGGGGGACAGGACAGGGAGACAGTAGCTAGGGTCGCCCAGGTGGTGGAAGGTGATGGTGGTGGCCGACAGGTTAGTGGCAGCGTAGGAGGAAGGTGGCTAGCTCCTTGTGATGTGTGGCAGACAGACTGGACAGGACTTGGAGGTGGCGGGGGGGATGGGTGCGGGGAGAAAGCAGATTCTAGAACGTCCTCCACAGCGTGAAGGGGTGAGGAAGTGCTCTTCTCCCAGAGGGGGCATCCAGAAGGAGAAGCCGGTTGTGGAGGGAATAGGAGAAGATGAGTTCCAGTTTGACGAGGCTGAGTCTGAGTTACCTGAGGAGCACCATGATAGAGGTGCAGGGGGGTTCTGGAGCACAGCCTGGGCTGGAGAGAGGGAGAGCCCTTCCAGCCTCTTAGGGGCAGGAAGGAGGGGGCCACAGGCCTGGGGGCAGGACCTGGAGGGCGTGCCCATCTGATGGCTTCCCTTTTCCTGGGAACTCTGACATGAGATCACCTGCTGAGAGTGAGGGGTTAGAGGTGGGAGGAGGGTGGAGAGGGGACAGAGAGGGTTGGCCAGGCGGTGTTGGGAGCAGTCGGTGTTGAGGCACTTGGCTGTGGAGCGGATGAGAGCCCCACCAGCGGGGCATAACGGGAAGGGCTGCCCATCAGGGCAGAGGGGCCTGGGGGGAGGGTCTGTGGGAGAGGCTAAGCCGAATGGGGAAGGGAGAGCATGAGGGGCATGACGTCCCAATGGGCTGCTGGAGGGGGTCAGGGCAAGACCACCATGGAGAGAGAGGGTGACAGGTTGGGGACAGAGGAGAAGGACATGTGTCTCACTTCTTTTTTATTTTTTATTTTTATTTTTTAAAGATTTTATTTATTTATTTGAGAGAGAGAATGAGATAGAGAGAGCATGAGAGGGGGAGGGTCAGAGGGAGAAGCAGACTCCCTGCCGAGCAGGGAGCCCGGTGCGGGACTCGATCCCGGGACTCCAGGATCTTGACCTGAGCCGAAGGCAGTCGCTTAACCAACTGAGCCACCCAGGCGCCCAACTGAGCCACCCAGGCGCCCTCTCACTTCTTTTTAAAGTGCTGTGGCCCAGAATAGCAGGGCCCAGCAGTGGGACCTCTCACCACTGCCTCACCCCCGCCATCTAGACTCTGGCTTATTTCCATCCTAACACCAGAGCATGCGTCGCTTTCACCACACACCGCACCCTCACCTTACCCTGTACCTGGAATCAAATCTGGGCTTCAACCTTTCTGAGCCTCCACTTTCCTCTGGAGTAAATGGGAGCCGTTTCCCTGGAGTCTGCTGAGAAGAGTAAATGAGATAGTTCACATAAGACCATGGGCATGGCACCTGGCCTGCAGTCAGACCTCCACAAATGTCATTGCCATTGGCATCATATGCTGGGACGGAGACAGTGGCCAAGAGCCAGCCCCAGTCCTCAGCAAACTCACAGCCTGGGGTGAGGACGGGGAGCAGGGGGGGACACAGATAAATGGTAGGTGAGATTGATTACACTAGTGATGGAGACACAGGTGGGCTGGGCCATCTGGCCTGAGGTGGTCCTGGAGGACTTCTAGGAGGAGGTGATAAGTCAGATAAGTTTTAAGCCTGAGAAGAGTTAGCCCAGTGCAGGAAGAGGCAGGGAAGGCAGTCCTGGCAGTCAGTGTGCAAGCATGCTGCACTTGGGGTAGAGATGGGGAGTAGTGCAAGTCATTCACTGGGTGACATGGGGCTTGAAGGTCAGGGACAGCAGATCAAGGTTTCAGATCAGCTGCCTTGGCTGCAGGGTGAAAGGACCTTGCAGGAGGGTGTCTGGAGGCCAGTGAAGAAGCAGTTACAGGCCCAGGCTCACCACTACAGCCTCAATGGGGCTTTTCGGGGCCAGACCGTTTCTCTCCTCCCGCTTTTGCCCTTGCCGTTTCCGCTGCCCGTTTTGCCTTTCCCATGGCTGAGCTTATGGGTATGGACAGATGGGGGCCACGGCCTACTAACGGTTGTGTTCTCCCACAGGTCCGAGGAGGAGCGGTGGGGAGCGGTGGCCAGCATGCACAGGGGTATCGCGTGCTCCGGACATCCCCCGTGCCGCCCCTGAGCCCCGCCCGGAGTTGGAACCCGGGGCCCGCCCGCGCGGCCGCACCATGAGCCACGGGCCCAGCCCCCGGCTGGCCGAGTCCCCGCAGCTGTCCAAGGGCAGCCTCCTGACCATCCTGGGCAGCCCGTCGCCGGAGCGCATGGGGCCGGCCGACTCGCTGCCGCCCACGCCGCCCAGCGGCACGCCCTCGCCGGGGCCGCCGCCCGCACTGCCGCTGCCGCCGGCGCCCGCGCTGCTGGCCGACGGGGACTGGGAGAGCCGCGAGGAGCTGCGGCTGCGGGAGCTGGAGGAGGCGCGCGCGCGGGCGGCGCAGATGGAGAAGACCATGCGCTGGTGGTCGGACTGCACGGCCAACTGGCGCGAGAAGTGGAGCAAGGTGCGCGCCGAGCGCAACCGCGCGCGCGAGGAGGTGCGCCAGCTGCGCCAGCGCCTCGACGCGCTCACCAAGGAGCTGGCCGGCGCGCGGCGCGAACGCCAGGAGGCGCAGGGCGAGTGCGAGGCGCGGGGCCGCGAGCTGGCGCGGCTGCGGGGCGCCCGGGGGGCCGCCGACCGCACGCCCGACGGGCCGGAGCCCGAGCCCGACAGGGAGCAGGAGCCGGTGCGCGACGTCGGGTCCGAAGTGCCCCAGGGCAGCCAGGTGCGCGGCGCGGCTGGGGCTGTGGGGCTGGCTGGGAGGCGGGCTCCTGGGCAGGGCCCTTGGCGCTGGGGTCCAGAAGGGGGTGCGGCGGGACTGGGAAAGGGGGATAGGAAGGGCTTGGTCCCCTGGGAGGTTTCACTCTCCTGCGTGGGCCTCTGCTTCGCGGGGCCAGAGGACGGCATTCTTCCGGAGAGGCCTGGCCATCTGGTGGTCCTTCCACTCCCGCACGTGAGCCGTCAACAGAACCTTAAAATCGTCCCTTTGGGGCAGAAGCGGGATCGAAGCTCGTGCCTGGTAGGCATCTATTAGCAGCAGAGCCGAATCTATTCATTCGTTCAACTTGAATGGGGGAGGGGGGTGCAGGGGGTAAACATTTATAACCCACATCAGTCAAAGCTGAGAGGTGGGAGGTTGTCAGGGCACTAGGAGCACAGAGAAGGTCCCTGAACCAGGCTTTGCAGATAGGGGCTTCACAGAAGCTTTCCTGGAAGAGGTCCCATCAGCGGAGACTAGGAGGTTATGGAGGACTTCTCTGTGAAATGTGCAGGCAGGCATTCTAGGCATGCAAAAGCCCAGAGGCCGGGAATGACAGCTCCCATCATTCTGTGGGCACCTGCAGACAGCGTTAAGCTCCGCATATGCAGGATCTAGTTAATTCTCACAATCCCAAGAGGGGTTTGCTTTGTGGATGAGCACACTGAAGCACAGGGAGATTAAGTACCAATGTCTCCCAGCTGGTGACTGCAGTGCTGGGTAGTTGAACCCAGGTGAACTCCGGAGTCCGTGGTAATCATCAGTGTGGCTGGAGCGTGAATGGTGGGGGTGGAGGGCAGCATCCCCCAACCCAGCAGGCCTTCTAGGAGCAGAGTCCAGGCTCAGGTTCCTCCCAGCTCCATCCCCAGATGGTCCAGCTGCCGCAGCTAAGATTCTTGGCTGCCCTCTCCCCTCCCTTGCCCAGCTCCTGCCACCCCTCTAGGCTAGGGTGGGCACTGCTGCCTCCTGGTGGCTGAAGCCCCCACGTCCCCAGGCCTGCCTGGTGTTTGGAGGTGGCGTTCCTTCATTGCTGTTCTCTGGGGCAGACGATGACAGCCCCTGTCAGCCAGGCTCGTGGTGCTATTCTTGTCCTGTCCTTGCTGTGGTTGTCAGTCACACTTCAGGAGGTAGCAGGTACCGTGGCAGGAGCCTTGAGGTTACAGTCAGTTTTTTCTCCAGACCAGACACTTCTGTGTTCTGTGACCCAGAACCAGTCCCTTCCTTCCCTGTTTCCCCATTTATGCAATAAGGCTTTGGACTGAGTGATGTTTGAGGCCCCCACCCAGACAGTCTGAGCTACATTAGGAGTAGAATCTCTGTCCACAGGTAGTTCTCAGGGCCACTGTCCCCATCCAGATAGGGAAACTGAGGGCCAGACAGGGAAGGAGATGGCCTGGACTCTGCTAGAAAGGTCACGGGGGAAGCCAGGCTGGGACAGAGGCCATGGATGTCTCAGGTCTGTGGCCAGAGGCAGGCCTTGGGTGCAGCAGGGGCAGCCCGGAGGGGCAAAGGGGAATGGGAAGCTCAGGGGATAGGCACTGAGTTAACAGTCTCTCACTACTTTCTGTCTGGGAGCTGGTTCTGCTCACAGGGGCTGCCTTCCTGTGCATCTTTTATGTCACTTACTTCCTGGTGCCTTAGTGTTTGCACCTGAAGAATGGGATCTTAGAGCCGGAATTCCTTTTGGGGGAATCTAGTTCCTATCCACTGTGGGAGTCTCTGCTTCTACATGCCATTCGCATCAGTGTCCCACCATATGCTGGCATACTTGCGATGACAGGGAGGCTCACCACCTGCCCTGGGAAATCTTCTAAGATACAGGGAACTGTAGTAGCTGACTCTGTGTGCAGTTCCAGGAGGTGAAGGGGAGAGGCCCAGAAGAGGGGGTGTCTCTCCCTCTCCAGGGATGGAGAGGCAGGCTCCAGAAGAGGATATTGGGGCCCAGAGGGCTGTGTGACTTGCCCAAGGTTACCCACTAAGCCGATCCCAGACCCAGGGCCTGGGAAAGGTCATGAGGTCGGCCAAGAGAGTGAGGGCTCAGCAGCCACTGGTCCTTCCTCCACCTTGGTCCCTACAGGAGCTGGAGCTGGTGGAGAGCCTGCTGAAGAGCAGACCAGAGGAGCCTGAGGGCTGCTGGGAGGCACGCAGCGTGGGGACCGGAGGCCCACGGGGCAGCTCAGGCCGCCAGGAGCGCAGCCGGCTGCCCTGGGAGGACACGGCCACCATCGAGGAGGATGCATCCAAGTTGACTGCCCTGCGGCTGCGGCTAGATGAGTCCCAGAAGGTGCTGCTCAAGGAGCGAGAGTAAGTCCCAGCAGGGAAGCAGGGCCCCAGGGGCGGGCCGGGCCACGCCAGGGCACCCTCAGAATTGCACAAAGTCAGTGTCGTGGAATGTGAGACTCGCTGAAGGTGCGTGGCACTATTCAGGCTTGAGTCTTGGAACTTTAGAACAGTGTGTTCTAACTGGGGCACCCCATGCAAGTTTTGTTTTATTAATTCAAATAACATGTATCATGCATTTGCTCTGGGTCAGACCTGTGCTCGGCAGTGAAGATATAGCCGTAAATGAGCCCAAACCCTCCCCACTCCCCGCCTCATGGAGCTTATGTGCTAGTGGGGAGACTGTGTCATGGGCAAAGATACAAGCAGGGAAGGAGGGTCAGGGAGGTTGAGGGGTTGCAGATGGGAATCGGGTTTGGCCCAGTTGAAATGGAGACGACAGGGAGGCAGTTGCGTATGTGAATGAGTCTGGAGTTCACGAGGCAGATGTGGGCTGGAGGTAAAAACGCAAGAGTCAGCAGGGAATAAGTGATTTCAAAAGCCGTGAGCTGGGTGAGGGAGGTCAGAGGATGGAGCCCTGGGGTCCTCTGACTTTAGAGATCAGAGGAAGAGCCCAGCGGTGAGGAGACAGGAGAAGCGGGTCCGGGAAGGGTCAGGGAAACCAGGAGCACCGTTTCACAGAGGAGGGAGTGAACAGCTGGTCAAGGAAGAAGAGGACTAAGCGCTCACCAGAGGATTTAGAGTGTGGAGGTCGCCGGTGACCTTGATCAGGGCACAGGCCTGATTATAATGAACATTCTGTAACACTCCCTTTCTGTCCAGAAATTAAATGCATAGATAGTATGAAGGCAGAGATCAGGGAGATGCTTCTATAAGTCAAGGAGAACCAGAGATGGCCTGCAAACTCCCAGAAGCAAGGGGACAGATTCCTTCTCATGGTCCTCAGTCAGAGCCAACCCTGCCGACACCTTGATCTTGGACTTCTGCCTCCAGAACTGTGAGACCATAAATTTCTGTTTAAGCAAGATGGACAAATAGCAGCCTGTTTCACTAACTGAAATATAAAGCAGGAATGTAAATATAGTATAATATACGTATTGTGACATGGACGTGCTCAGGCCCAGCTCCACTAGAGGAGATAACGAAGTGCAGTCAATCCTTGAACAATATGGGGGTCAGGGGCACTGACACTCCCCACCCCCACGCAGTTGAAAATCTGACTCCCCAGATTTGATCCCCCAAAACGTAATTCATTGACCAGAGCTTTACCGATAATATAAACAGTCGATTAACATGTATTTTGTATGTTCTATGTATTACGTGTTGTGTTCTTACGATAAAGGAAGCTAGAGGAAAGAAAACATTAAGAAAAAGGGAGGAAAATACAATACTGTACTGTATTTATCAAAACGACCTGCGTGTAAGTGGATCCGTGCGGTTGAAACCCAGGGTGTTCAAGGGGCAGAGGTAATCAGAATCGGGTGCCTTTACAAAGAAGGGTAGTGATAACCCTCCCAGCCAATACTTACATAGCACGTACTCTGAGTCAGGCTTTGTGTGGATGGGCTCAGTTAAGTCACCTCCCAGGACAGCTACAAAAACAGCAGGTGCAGTGTGTGGGGTCCGCAACTCAGATACACAAGCGCCATCGAGGTGGCGACAAGATTTCCTGAGAGAGGAACAGCCTTTGGTAAAGTTCTGAGCCAAGCATAGCGCACTGTTCTTTCAATTTATACAGCGATCTGGTCCTGGGGAGACGCTGTGAGTACAAAAGATACTTTCTGTTGATGTGTGAATCAGAGTGAGGGTCTAGGCTCAGATGGTTTGCACACCTGGGGGTGTCTGGCAGGGCATGCATGCTTTACAGGGGATGCGGGATCAGTCCTGGAGGGCGGGATGGCCCTGGGCCTTCAGTGTAGGACATAGGCACCCCTTGTCCCTGCCCACCGAGTGACCGGGTCATGCAGGGTTACCAGAAATGCCTCCTAGAGGGTGGTATTGTCTCCTGAGAAGCCCACGTTAGAGGCGGGAGATGTCAGGCTCCCCGAGAGGGAGGCTGGTCGGCGGGGGGTCATGAGGCACAGCATGCTGAAGAGTGAGGATAACGTTGAGCACCTACTGTGTGCCAGGGCCAGGCCCCGTGCTCATTACCCACAGCATCTCACTCATGCACGGAGCAGAGTGCAGAGTGGGGATTGTGGGAGATATTCCCCACCCAGGGAGGACGACGAGAGGTGACCCCTCCATCTGAGACCCAGTGGACAGTGTTTTCCAGCTTTTCTGACCCCAGAACCATGTGTCCAAACCAAGCCTTACAGGCAACAACCGTACATAAAACAGAAACAGGGGTCATATTGGGCAGTTGAGCCTGAGACACTTGACCAGGCATGGTCAGTGCCCTGGAGTCCTGGTCACCTGCCCACATCGTGAGCTGGGCGCCTGCAGTGGTGCAGAAGGTGGGGAGTAGAGCTCTTTGCAAAAGGAGTTCAAACCCTGGGCGAGGGGTGGGGAGGGTGGTTGGTGCCAGGGCCTCGAATGCCGAGGCAAGGACTTCAGACACCGGCTTCCCAGGTGCAGGCCGCACAGGAGGACTCTCAGCAGAGGGCCTCGGTGGGCTCACCCCCGTATCTGCCTCTCCTCCTCCTCTCTCCAGGGATAAACTGGCACTGAGCAGGAACATTGAGAAGCTGGAGGGGGAGCTGAGCCAGTGGAAGATCAAGTATGAGGAGCTGAACAAGACCAAGCAGGAGATGCTGAAGCAGGTGAGTCTTGGAGACGGCAGTTTTCTTAGAGGAAGAAGCATTACACTGTTGAATTTCAGCAGCGGGAGTGGGAGAAAGGAGGGAGTTCAGTCATTCCTCATCAAATGCTGGCCACGCTCTATCCGCTGTTCTGAGTGCTGGCGCAGGCAGTGTCCCTGGCTTCGGGAGCTCACCTTGTGGGGGCTATGGGGTGGGGCATAGGGAGTACCAACAGTAAGCAGCCAGATAAATTCATAAGCTCTGAAGGAGTCAGACAGAATAAGAGAGATGGTGGTGGGTCAAGAATGGCATCTCTAAAAAAAATAAAATAATAAAGTAGTAAGTAGATAATAAAATTAAAAATAAAAAAAAAAAGAAGAATGGCCTCTCTGGGAAGGTGACATTTGAGGCAAGACCTAAAGAAGCTGTCCTTGAGAGGATTTGGGGGCAGGGTTCCTGACAGAAGGCACAGCACATGCAAAGGTCCTGAGGCCAGAGTAAGCCTAGCATGTGCAGAAAGCAGAGGGCAGTGTGGCTGGAGGGAAGTAAGTGACAGATGAGGTTCCAAGGGAGCTAGACCTCACCGGGCTTCATAGACCATGCTGAAGGGGAGGAGTTGGGATGTAGCATTCATGGGGTCTAGAATGTTCTCCATCTCACTGACGCTTCAGGGCAATCAACGAAGCTGGACCCTGGGGTCCCCATTTTATAAAGGACAAAACTGAGGCTCCAGCGGGCCAAGAGGGAATTCCACAGCTGCAGTTTGGGGACTCAGGGCAGGCCGAAGTCCTGCTGGGTGGCTGCGACTGCCTCGTGTGCGGGCCCCTGTGGCCACCAGGGGGCGAGGCCACCCAGAGAAAGTCTGCTGGACCCGCTGCATTTCCAGAAGGTGCGAAGATTCCTCCAGACCCCAGAGCCTAAAACTGCCCTGGAAGCAACGAAGACTGTCTCATGGTAGATTCTCTCAGGGAATATCCTAAAACCATCCGTCCCCAGAAGCAGCATCTTTGGGGGATGGGTCCAGGAATCTGCCTTTTTAATCTTTCCATATTATGAAGTGGAATCTTTTGCAGAAAAGTGAATAAAACATGAATGTTCAGTTTAGCAGATAGTCATAAAGATTCTCTTTTGTAACTGGCTTCTTTCCCTCAGTGTTACGGATTTGAGCTCACCCGTGTCATTGCACAGAGTGACAGTTTGTTGGTTTCCCTGCTGTACGACGAGGCATCTGCACTATGCCCACGTCACCCCAGGCGATCCCTATGTGGCCAAGCGTGCATGCACGCGCAGACCCTGTTCAGATCCACTGAGTGCATTCAGTCAGTTCACAGGGCTACCCAGTGCCAAGGCCATATAGGGATACAAAGGTGGACAGACAAGCTCTCTGTCCTCCCAAGCTCACATTCTAATGGGGAGTGGGACGTAGAGTAAAGGAGGCACCTCTTGTAGTCAGGGAGGAGGAGAGAGGCCTTCCTGAGGAGGGGGCATTTAGGCCAAGGCCTGAGAATGCAAAAAGTCAATCCTGTAAAACAACTTGGAAAGAGTGATGGTAGAGAGAACCATATGTACGAAGGCCCAGTGGTGGACAGGAACTTGGTGTGTTTGAGGACTCGAGCCTGGAACACTGTGAACTAAGGAGAGAGGAGAGATGGGCAAGGGTCCAACCATATTGTGAAACCAGAGAAAGGGGTCGGGTCTTATCCTAAGGAACCCAGGGATGGGGGTATGATTGACTTATCTTTTTAAAGAGCTCATTCTGGGCTGGCTACTGTCGTGGAAGTGGAGTGCCAGGGGCCACAGTGGACACTGGGAGGCTAGATGGTCATGAGGTAGGAGGTATGAAATGCCAGAAGCGGCACCAGCAGTCAGATTCAGCCCTGTTCTGGGTACCCAGTGGCGCATCTGGACTCCACATCAGGCTCCTTGCTGAGCACTCCTGCCCCAGCACCCATCCCCAGGAGCCGGTTCCGGGATATACCCAGGTGGTTCTCACGGAACCGGGCTGCACTGTGTCCCGCAGCTCAGCATCCTGAAGGAGGCCCACCAGGACGAGCTGGGTCGCATGTCTGAAGACCTGGAGGATGAGCTAGGTGCGCGGTCCAGCATGGACAGGAAGATGGCAGAGCTGAGGGGTGAGGTGAGGCCACTGGTGGGATCTGGGAGGGCTTGGGGCTGGGGCGGGGAGGTGGGGAGGAGGGAGGCAGGGGCCTGGCCTCCATCAGCCGACCACTCCAAAGAGGGCAAGAAGGAGGTCTGTACGCTGAGGCAGGGACCAGCCACACCCGGAAGGTGCTCTGGTCTGCAGGGGGCAGCGGGCCTCTCTCCCACACACAGACCAGAAGCGCCCTCACATCCTGCACACCGTGAAATCAGCCCAGGTTAATTATAGCTGCTGCAGCTGGATCTGCTTCCTGGAGCCAAAAATGGCTCTGGGGGGTTGGGGGAGCATCCAGCTTAGGCCCTCCTGTCCGCCTTCCCCCTGGAGCCCTGACCCTGTCCTGCCCTGTTGCAGATGGAGCGGCTGCAGGCGGAGAACGCGGCCGAGTGGGGTCGCCGTGAGCGGCTGGAGACCGAGAAGCTGGGCCTGGAACGGGAGAACAAGAAGCTGCGGGTGCAGGTCGGGGATCTGGAGGAGGCGCTGGCCCGCCGGCGGAGGCAGACAGCCAGCGCCCTGGACTGTGACCTGCGGGCCAGCCAGGCTGCGCTTTTCGAGAAGAACAAGGTGGGGTAGCGGGTGGTATGGCCAGGGCCGGAGCAGAGCACCCACTGTGTGTCCAGCTCCAGCCCACGGGGGGCGGGGGACCCCTAAAGTGACAACGAAGGACGAAGGATGGAGGTGGCGACGGCCCCAGAAGCCACTCCTCCCGGGCATCCCCTGTGGGCCACGTTCCTGATACTGCTTTGGCCGCTAAGCAGGGAGCCTGCAGGCGCCCCGTGACCCTGAGCGCCCCCCCCGCAGGAGTTGGCCGACCTGAAGCATGTGCACGGCAAGCTGAAGAAGCAGTTTCAGGAGAAGGTGGCCGAGTTGGCGCACGCCAACCGGCGGGTGGAGCAGCACGAAGCAGAGGTGAAGAAGCTGCGGCTGCGGGTGGAGGAGCTCAAGAAGGAGCTGGCCCAGGCCGAGGATGAGGTGAGCACCCGCTGGGGCCCACGGGGTGGCCTCAGGCCTCAGCGGCAGTGGCAGCAGGGCTGCAGGGCCCTCCCGTGTCACTGTGTGGACGGTAGATAGGTGGACGGTAGATAGGTGTGTGGGAAGGAGAACGGACGGCAGGATGGATGAGTAGCTGAATAGATTAACGGATGGATGAGTGGGCGGACGTGTAGGTGGTCTGTGTGGCACGTAGATGTGGAAATGGAACGACAAGGAAGTAATTCCGTGGATGGATGAGCAGATGGATGAAAGAATAGAGGGACAGGTGGATGGGGAAGGGAGGGGGAGAGGGACGGAGGATGGATGAAATGTAACAAGAGATGTCTGATAGGTGACTGGATGGATGGCTGGAGGGGTAGGTGACTGGATGGGTGGGTGGATGGATGGGTGACTGGATAGGTAGATGGGTGGATGACTGGATAGGTGGATGGATGGGTGGGTGACTGGATAGGTGGATAGATGGGTGAATGGGTGGGCGATTGGATGGATGGGTAGGTGGATGGGTGGGTGATTGGATGGGTGGATGGGTGGGTGATTGGATGGGTGTATGGATGGATGGGTGAGTGACTGAATAGGTGGGTAGATGTGTGTGTGGGTTGATTGATAGGTGGATGGGTGGGTGACTGGATAGGTGGGTGGATGGGTGGGTGGATGGGTGGGTGGGTGGATGGATGGGTGGACGGATGGGTGGATGGGTAGGTGGGTGGATCACTGGGCAGGTGGTTGGACAGGTAGATGGGTGGATAGATTGGTGGATGGGTAGATGGGTGGGTGACTGGACAGGTGGGTAGATGGGTGGATGGCTGAGTGGGTGGATGGCTGAGTGGATAGCTGGGTGGGTGGATGGCTGGGTGGAGGAGTAGATAGATTGGTGAGTAGGTAGGTGGGTGGACGGGTAGGTGACTAGTTAGGTGGATGGGTGGGTGCACGGATGGGTGTGCAGGTGGGTGGGTGGATAGATGGATGACTGGATGGGTGGATGACTGGATAGGTGGATGGATGGGTGGTTGACTGGATAGGTGGGTGGATGGATAGATGGCTGGGTGGATGAATGGGTGGATAGGTGGGTGGATGGGTAGGTGATTGGATGAATGGATGGGTGGATGGGTAGATGGATGGGTAGGTGACTGGATGGGTAGATGGATGGGTGGGTAACCGAATAGGTGGGTAGATGGGTGGATGGGTGGGTGACTGGATAGGTGGGTGGGTGGATGGGTGGGTGGATGGATAGATTGGTAGCTGGGTCGGTGGATGGACAGGTGGATGGGTGGGTGGATGGATGCGTGGATAAGTAGGTGGATGGGTGGGTGCGTGGGTGGATAGATGGGTGACTGGATGGGTGGATGACTAGATAGGTGGGTGGATGGGTGGGTGACTGGATAGGTGGGTGGATAGATGGGTGGGTGGGTGGATAGATTGGTGGGTGGGTGGATAGATTGGTAGCTGGGTGGGTGGATGGGTGGGTGGATGGATGGGTGGATAGGTAGGTGGATGGGTGGGTGACTGGATGGGTGGGTGGATGCATAGATGGGTGGGTAGATGGTTGGGTGGATGGGTGAATGGGTAGGTGGATGGGTAGGTGACTGGATGGGTCGGTGGGTGGTTGGATGAATGACAGATGAGTATACAGATGTACAGGAAAATAGAGGACTGTGTGGACAGTGGAAAGATGGCTAGATAACTAAACTGGATCAGCGGGTAGAAGGATGAATGGACAGGGAGAAGGACAGAAGGATGGACAGATGGGATGATAGGTGTGTCTGGGAGAGTGGAAGCAGATAGATGGGGTGAATGGGTAGCTGAGTAGAATAAGCAGTGGTGAGTAGGTAGGTAGGCATCTCCATGGGCAGACGTCATTCCACAGATGAATGATCAGATGAACAGACCCATGGGGAGAGATGGGCAGGCAGTTTGATGGCTGGATCAGTGGCTTGGGGTGTCCGAAGATGTGTAGATTTGGAAGGCAGGGTCAGCAGGAATGGTGAGGGGCAAAGGCATGCTTCCTTGGAGGAGGTGGGCCTTGGTCTGGGCCTCAAAGAACAGACAGGGACTGCTCTTGGGAAAGGCAGAGGAATGGCGGGAGGGGCTGGTCCTGGGTAGACGGCCAGGCTGACCCAAGGTGACCTTCACGCTCTTGGCCCTGCCCCCCCACCAGCTGGACGAGGCCCACAACCAGGCACGGAAGCTGCAGCGGTCGCTGGACGAGCAGACAGAACTGAGCGAGAACCTACAAGTGCAGCTGGAGCATCTGCAGTCCAGGTGGGCGTGCCGCCCTGGTGGGGAGGACCCCCTGGCCGGACACAGAAGCAGGGCAGGGAGAGACTTCCTCCCGGTCAAGGTTGGAGCCCCAGCCCAGGCTAGCGGGGAAGGCATCGAAGGAAGAGATCCGGGACCCCTGGGGCCAGAACCCTGTCCCATCCAGGCAGGAAGGGCCAAGGCCAGGAAACCAGGGAAGGGGAGTGCAAGAAGTGAGACCAGCTGAGAGCCCTGGAATCATGTGTGTGTGACTGGCTGGGCTGGCTGGCCGGTGGGAGGGTGGTGAGAGGAAGAAAGGGGGACCAAAGAGGGCAGGTCCAAGGTGGGGCAGTGGGCGGGGCCAAAGGGTCTGGGGAGTCATGGACAGGGAGAATAAGCAGCCCCCAGGGTCCCTGGGCCAGCTGGGATCTGAGCAATGGGAAGGCAGGGATGCGCGGGGGAGCCCCAGCCCTGATGGTAGGCCCAATCCGTCAGCTGCAGCCTTCGTGAGGGAGGACCGCAGGGAGGACCCACCCAGCACACTCTCTCCCCCTCCCCTGACCACCCCATCCCAATACTCTGTGGTACCCCCTCTCCCTGCACTCTCCCTAGGCCCATGAGGTGACAGAGAGCCAAGTCCAAGGCCCTCCTTATTCCACACGCGCCCCACCAGCCAGGGGCGTCAGGACCACTGTGCTGACTTCCTGTGCCAGGCCCGTGCCAGGCCCTCAGACTCGCATCCTCTGATGTCAGAGAATAGAGCGACGCAGGCTCTGCAGCCAGACTCCCCCGGTGGGTGGGAATCTGCACTGAGGAGCTGTGGAAGTGGTCTGTGTGGTCTGGGGCCACTCGCTTGATCTCTCTGTGTCCATTTCCTCATCTGTAAAATGGGGATGATACAGGTCTTGCCTCTTATTGTGAGAATTCAGTGCTTGTAAAAGCATGGGGCATGTCATAAGTGCTGTTGCTACTTCTCCCCTGGGGAGCAGCTGGGGGCTGTGGGGCAGGGGGGGACTTACATTTGGGTCCCACCAAGAATCCCTCTCCCGTGAGAGAAGGGAAGTGGAAGCTATTTTTTTCTAGGAAGCTGGCAGACAAGGAAAGTAAGGCCTTAAGAGGGTGAGGGTCTCCACGGCCACACATCTGGCGGGTGGTCCGGCTGGATCGCCCCCCCCGGCCACCAGCACCCCGATTTCCGGAGCATATGCTGTGCACTGCCGTGTGCTGAGTTTCTGTGGCTGGGAATACAGGCCGTGGAGGCAGGCCTAACAGCTGTGTGACATGGCCAACCTGGCCTCAGTTTCCCCATCTGCCTGGGATGATGCCCATAAAATGCTGCATGGGGACCCAGGCGTGAGTGCAGGTCAGACTCTGTGTCTAACCAGCGCTGCCCACTCTGCATGCACGCGCGCGCGCACACACACACACACGCACACACCCTCAGGGGACAGCCCTCAGAGGCCGCTGAGCCCCGGGCTTTACCGCAGAGTTGGCCACGTCTTTCGGCCACATTCATTCTAAAATGGGCAGGCAGGCTGTACCTCCCGAGTCCTTCCAACGGGGGGAGGCCAGGGCTGCCCAGGACCGCCGCCTCGTTTTATTTTCCAACTTTTTGTGCTTTAATGTTCCGGGGACAGCTCACTAAATCACGGCCCAGTAATGGAGGCCCCCGCCTGGCCCCCTCCCTGCCGTGTAAATAATTCATGCCTTCCAGTAAGATGGAGCCAAGGCAGCCACTCTGCTGGGGGATGGGCATTTCCTCCAGCAGCCCTCGTAAATTTGGGCTTTAGGAATCTCAGTGTGGGGAAGAACTAGGGCGGAGCCCTTTCTCACTTCCATGGCTGGCGGGGGGGCATAGGGGACCTCAGGCCCCCCACCCCCAAACTCCCTCTCTGTGGTCGTTGGAGCCTGGCGTGGGTTCGAATCCTAGCAGGGTGACCTCAAGTGGCTGCTTCACCTCTCCGGCCCCAGCCCACGGCAGAGCCCAGCCTCACTCCCTGCTGTCTGGGGGGATGGACGAATCACTTGACTGCTCTGTGCCTCAGTTTCCTTGTCTGTCAAACGAGGGTGACAGTAACAACCCCCACATCTTAGCAGCCTCTGGGAGGTTGCTGTGACATCAGGTACTGGAGGGGAAGGGCCCCAGCTGGCGCCTGGCAGCAGGGACATGCTAGGGAAGGGCTGAGCTGCTTGCAGCACCAGTGATCGACTGACTGCCCCCGACCCTCCTGTCACCCGGCCCCACAGGCTCCGCAGGCAGCAGCAGAATGCCCCCCTCTTCGGGAAGATCCGAAGCGCTCGCTTCGGCGCCGAGGAGGCCGGGGACGGAGCCAGCGACCTGGATGAGGACGAGGACCTGCAGATCCAGGTGGCCTAGGGCTCCCAGGGCCAGACAGGACTGGCCTGTGGCCGCAGGCCCCTGGGTGCCCGGGCTGACCGGCTGCTCGGACCGATGAAGCTGCCTGTGCTCCCTGCCTCTGCCAGGGTGGGCGCCGGTGGCCCCACCCCAGCAACACCCTGTGGAAGGGAAGCCATGGCCTATGTATACATTATATGTGTATATTTTATATATGTGCGTGGGATCCTTGGACCCATTTGGTCTTATAAACACGGGACCACTCCAAAGCCCAGTCTCAGCACCCCCATCCACCCAGGACCTTCGTGCAGGGGCGAGGGGGATGTCAAAGGGGACTGTGGGGGACCCAGGCTGCCTCTCTGAACCTTGGGGGTCAGGTGGAGCTGTTTACAGTACAATGTGATAAACCCAGTCTTTTGTAATAAATGGAGCTTGGGTTCTCGGGGCAGAGTCCTTGAGAGTGTGGCAGATACGGGCAGGTGGTGTGGGGGACAGCATCAGCCTGCGTCTGGCACCCAACCTGAGTTCCGGAATGTCAGGTGACTTGCCAAATGAACGAATGTGAGAAAGAACGAATGGATGAACACCTGAGCTGCTCAGTGGTCTGGAATCCGGCTTCTGTGAGGGGAAGGAAAAGGTATGATGTGTGTCTAATCTGGAGGAGAGGAGGCTGCAGTTCTGCACTGGATGAATTCAAATCTCTGCTGCTGCCCCTTACTGGCTGTGCAACCATGGGGAAGTGACTTGACCTCTCTAAGCCTCAGTTTCTCCATCTCTGAATTGAGGCGTCTCCTACAGCTATCATGAGAATAAGCTGAGTTCATCTGGAACTCAGTAAAGGTTAGTTATTATTGAAACGCTTGAACGTATGCCTGGGAGAGGAGGTATTTGCCAGATGGGCTCTGTCACAAGGGATGAAGTTCAGGCGACCAGAGGTAGGCATAAACAAAGTAAATAATAAATCCTTTTATCTTTCCCCCAGCTCTGCTCTAGGTAATGAAATTGCAGGTAATTTTAATTTTATTTTTGCTGCTTAATTCCTAAACCCTCTATAACCAGCAGATTTATATTAAATCCAGTGGAAACTGTTATTCAGAACACAATAGCGTACGTTTTTGCATCTGCAGGTTGAGGTGGGTTTGAGACACCTGCCCTTAATGAGATGCTCTAGATGAATTCTCGGCAGCAGGCCTGCTTTCTGCAGAAAGAGGTTCTGTCAGCATGGTTTTAGCCGGCGGAAGAGGTGAGCTCCCTGTGCTTAAGAGGTGTGCAAGGAGCCGCTGAGGCTCTGTGCCTGTGGAGGGGAGCTCACTCAATGGCTTTCTCTCTTGTGGCTGTCTGAGGGGCCCCTAAGGACACAGTGCTGGGATGCAGAGGGTGCCAGAGCCCAGCGGGTGGTACATCTGGGCACAGAACGGTTCAGCTGTTGCCACGCCTAAACCAGGGATGAAACTGGTGAGGTGGGGTTTGCTGTCGTGGCAGAGAGGCCCCAGGTTCCCTCCTGGGCTCTGAGGGGAAAGGAAGGAGTGGGCCACCCCTGGCCATGGGGAGCCATCCGCCATGGGTCTTTCCACACAAGCCAGGGCCCGCAGGAAAAAAAAAAAAAAGCTGTGGGAAGAGGGCCATTTCCTGCCAGGGGTCTTTCTGTTTTCTCTCCCAAACAGGAAGTTTGCCCCAGAAGAGGCTGAACTGCTGCCCTTTGACCCCCCCAGGAGCCAGGCCCTCACTGACAACAGCCCTGAGGGCCGCCTCCCCAGGCCCCAGGCGGACCTGCCATTCCCAGACACAGAGCAGATCCGCTGGCGCAGCGGGCTCCCCCAGACTGCCTGGCACCTCCGGCCAGAGTGCTGAGCAGGGGCCCCGTTCCCGCCCCTGTGTGCGGGCAGGGCCGCTCCAGAGAATGTCAGCGAGGAGAGGGTCTGGCCTCCCACCTCACTGTCCAGAGGAGAACCAGTCTCGGGAGGGGAGACACAGCCACAGACCACAGGGCTGGAAGATTCTCCAGGCCTGGAATGCGCTGCCTCTCTTGCATCCCTTTGTTCACGGGGGCAGCCTCTGCCAACAGAAGCGTCAGCTTTGGCTCCCGAGATGCTTTAAAAACGATATTATATGCATGCTAGTTTATTTTTTTTTTAATCTTTTTTTTTTTTAAGATTTTATTTATTTGAGAGAGAGAGAATGAGAAAGAGAACACATGAGAGGGGATAGGGTCAGAGGACGAAGCAGACCCCCTGCCGAGCAGGGAGCCCGATGCGGGACTCGATCCTGGGACTCCAGGATCATGACCTGAGCCGAAGGCAGTCGCTTAACCAACTGAGCCACCCAGGCGCCCTGCATGCTAGTTTAGTAATGGGGAGTTTCTCAGAAAAGTGCAGGTTTCCTTCTCGTGAGGAGTCAGCACGTCGGCCCACGCTGGGTTCACACTCCCGTGGGGTCGTGGCCCCCGGGCAGGGAAGCGGGTGCTGCCCAGAGTGGGGCACAGGCACCTCGGGGGGCCACAGTCCCCACCACTCCCTGCAGCCTTACTCTGCATGCGCCTTATTTATACGTGGCCCCCCGGAGGCCATGTGAGCCTTCTTCCACTGGCCCGAAGTCAGCGTGAGCTCTGGGGGGCCGGGCCCACGGGTCGGCCGTGGGCTCAGAGCTCGTGCACGCAGGGGCGACTGCCAAGAACAGTTAACACTTACGGAGCCACACCACGTGCCTCACACCCTTTGAGGCTGGCCTACCGTGTCTTCCCTCTTTTGATCAAGGATGCAGAGCCTCAGAGGGAGCAAGTAACTAGCCCAAGGCCACAAAGCTCATCAGTGAGGATGCTGGCGTTCCAGGTCAGATGGATCGGAGGCCAGAGCCCGAGCTCCTGATCACGGCTCCCACACCCCACCCCTCCAAGGCAAGGCCCCACATGGCACGGCCCCTGCCCTCCGCTGCGGCCCGACCACCCTCCACTTGGCCCAAGACCCTGCAGCTCCAGTCCCGTTGTGCTCCCCGAGGCCACCAGAATCGCCCCTCCCCCATCAAAGTCCCACCAGCCCTTCCAAGCTGAGCCTACTTGGTTCATTCGAAGAGTGGTAGCGGGCTGTGTACTTGTCTGCTTCTGCCGTCCCACCAGATGCTCCTGGAGGCCAGAGAATCCTGCCAGCAGCCGGCAAGGTAGCCTGGGCTTAGTGGGCATCTTTGAAAGAGGGGAGGGGAGGGAGGGAAGGAAGACGGATGGTATGCTAGAAGGCTGAAGCCAGAACCGCGCCGTCCCCCCCAACTCCAGCCCCACCGCAGTGCACTGCAGGACCGATCCTGGATGGGTCCGTGTGCTGCTCAGATAAGAAGTCTCCCGGGGCAGATGGTCCAGTATCAAAAGCCCCAGCAGCACAGGGGCAGGGCCTGGAGTGCCAGGGCAGGCTAGAGAACTGGCTGGGCCAGACTGCCCCTCCTCCCCCTGCAGGGATGGGCTGGGGGCCCTGGGGTTGGCCGCCCCTTGCTCTCCCTCCGGCAGAGGTCATGTTGCCAGCCTGACTCTAGGGGGGTGGGAGGCAGTCTCTAGGGTTACCTGCATGGAAGTTCGGGCCCAGGAGTGACCCTGCACCCCAGCCCTCCAGATCAACGTGGCATCTAGCCCCAGCTCTTTCAGATTGGGGGTGTGGGGGAGGTGCGGCTGTGTCTAGCAAGCCCCTGTCCCTCTCTGGGCTTTCATTCCCCAATCTGTAAAATGAGTACAATAGCAACTGGGTTGTCCAGACCCACACCCAATAATATGACTTTACAGTTAGTGTTATTTTTCTGGCTTTTCCTCTGCTCTGCATTCCCTCCCAAGAACCCAGTGCCCTGTCTGCCTGGGGCCTGCCAGCCACCCTGGGCACCCTTCTGGGTAAGTGAGGGGGATATTGGAGGCAGAGGCGGCACCCATGAACCAGCTGCAGCTCTCAGCCCCCCACCCAACCACCACCCAGCTCCTCTGCCTACTAATTGCAGGGTTGCGAGATGCCAGCTTCCTCCCAGGCCCCAGGCGGACTCCTCCCCATGGAGCGGGGCTCCCTGGAAAGCCTCCCAGCTCTCCTCCAACTGCACAGACCCAGCTGCATTGAGGGCTGTCTCCATGGTGCTCAGACACCTCCCCCCCCCGCCCTTCCGCAGGAGGTAGCCTAAAGAGGTGTAAACATGAAGCCTTCCTCTGTGGTTTTCCCACTTCCCAGGCTTCCCGAAGTCAGAGGAGCGCATCCTAGCCTTTCCTTCCCCCACTCAAGAACTAGCCATGGCTCCCCACTGCTGGACAAATAGAGTCTCACTCCACATCCTGGCCTTGGGGGTGCTCTCTACATGCCCTTAAGCACGTTCCCCAAGTCTCCTTGGTCTCAGGTCCAGACGGGGCCCTTGCTATGGCCTTTCTCCCAACCCCACTGGATTCACCAGCACTGTCTCTGCCCCTGCACCAGTGACCTGGTCGGACTGGGTGACAGCTCTGCGGCGAGCTCACCCCTGGCCCTCCAGCTCTGAGGGCAGGGGTCCTGCCTCTGGGAATTTGGATCTCCCCAAGTGAGGAGGGAGGGGATCATTCAGAGCTGACGCTCCTCCTCCAGGGAGTCATTTAATTTTTGTCATTACAACCTGGGAGGTGGGCAATGGCATGATGGGGAAAGCGAGGCCAGAGAGGGAAGAGACCAGCCAGTGGATGACAGGACAGGGATCTGAACCCAGGCAAGTCCACAGGCCGCTGTTCTCAGCTACAGCCTGCAATGTGGGTCTGGGGTCTGGGGGCTGAGTCGGTTCAGAGCAGGCGGGAGGGAGGGAGGGAGGAGGAAGCTGATGATGCAGAGCACCGGGGACATCAAGCCCTCCTCCCTTCAGATACTCTGCAAGGCTCTCTCTCCTCCCGCACCGCACTTTAGCCTCTAACTTAGGGAGCTCGGAGTGGGGAATCTCATTACCTGGCTGAGTAAACTGCGGTCCAGAGAGCAAAGCAGCCTATGCACGGTCCCCCAGCAACCGTGACCTGGGACGCCCCAGGCCCTTTTAATCGTGTTGTGATCTTTCACTCCTTTGACCTCCATTATGATAACTCAAGACAGCGAGTGGCGCTCTTCTACCCCTGCTAGACGCCTGTACCCCTAACCTGCCTTCCTGAGCCTGCCTCCGTTTCTACACATGTACCGTGGGGTGCTGTGGGCATTAGAAAGCCCGTTTGCCAAGCTCCCAGCACGGGGTTCAGCTCCCAGCAGTACAGTTTGCTTTTGTCCAAGGGCCCCATCGTGTCTGTGTGCAAGCGCCGTGCACTTGTCCCTAGGGCGTGGGGATCTTGGGATCTTTGGGATCTGCCTCCAGCTGCATGCACCGCCCCCTCAGCCCTGCTCAGTCGCCCAGTCTCTTGATTCCAGGATGGAATGAGGTTCAGGGGGTAGCCCTGGGAAAGCGAAGGCACCTAGTCCGTTCCTGGACCACCAGCTCCTTCCCCACCAACCCCACCCCAGTGGCTGACAAACTGGAATTCTGTGTGTGATGAAATCCCTTGGGATGTGGTTGGTGGGAATCCCTTATGGGATAAAGTTTATCTGATCCCCCAGTGCCCCCAAGGGCTGAAGTGAGGAAGCTGCCAAGCGGAGGAGGGTGGGGTCAGAGAGAAATCAGGTGCCACGCCGCCAGGCAGTCTGCCTCTGACTTCTTTTGATGCTTATGACAGCCCGGTGAGGTGTCACAATTATTCTCCCACCTTAGTGGGTGAGAACACTGAGGCTGAGACCCCCAGCGGCTTCCCCAGGTGTCCCAGCCGCTGAGAAGCAGGATCTGGACCAGGGCCACTGTTGTCCAGAGCTGGTGCTGGAACCTCCGTACCAGCAACTCCTGGGGCACTCTGCATGTACCATGTGCCCCTCCCCAGCCTCCGGGGCCCTGGGAGGACTGGATGGCGTCTCTTTTCATCTCCCACCATGTCCCCCTCTTTTACTGCGTCCCAGTCCGCTGGCTTCCTTTTTACTTTCAGTACCCCAAGTCTGTTCCCGCCTCAAGGCTCTAGGTATGCTGTTCCTTCTACCCTGAAACTTCTTTCCCTCCACATCCTTCCCTGGCTCCTCTAGCCTCACGGAAATTCCCTCTCCTGTGCCCATGAACCTCCATCTCAGTCCCTTGACGTTGATTTTTCTGGACGGCTTCTCCTTTTGCAATTGCCTATTTATTCACCTGGCTGGTGCTGACTTCCCACTCCTTTCCAGCCCTTGAATGCTCTGAGGGCTAGAATTTTGGGTCCTTTTTAGTCACCTTTGTAACCAGCACCTACACCTACCACCTAGCAGGAGCTCACTGAGTGTTCAGTGAATGGATGAATGAATGATTAAGCGAATGAGCAAATGAATGAGGGACCCTCCATGCTCCCTCTCAGGCCCCTGCTCTTTGTGCCCAAGGCCAGTCCCAGAGGCTCAGGTCGGTCAAAGGCAGCAAGAGATGAAGTTATAAAGCAGGGCAGGCAAATGGAGTGTGCAAAGTTTTTTGAGAGGAAACTCAAAGATGCAGTGCTATTAAAAATTGATATTTCAATGAGATAATCCCTCTCCTAGGCTTTTAATTGATTGTCTAAAAAGCCTTCCTCTGTTGTTATGCTTCTTTATTTGCAGGGACCATTAATTTTTTTTATGGACGATCAAACCCAGATAGAGCGGAAAGGCTACCGCATGGCTCATCCCAAAACAGTCACTAAGGCGCCAGGGACAACATCTAGGGGTCGACCAGGACAGGTGAGTTAGCCACGGGGCTGGCCCTAGATCTGGATACTGGGAAGAGGGGGAGCCCCTGCCCTCCCTGAACATACACACGCACCTGCCGCTGCCCCCAGCCCCCCACAGGCCTGCGTGAAGGGAGGAGGAGCAGGTGGGGGCTCCATAACGGTGTAAGGCAACCGCTGTGAGGCAGATCCCACTGTGGGAATGGGGACCCCTGGGATCCCCCCTTTGCCACTGGTGGCCAGTCCCCCACCACTCCAGACCTCCACTCCCCATCTGTTCCTTGCAGCGTGGGGCTACAGGTAGACAAGGAAGAGTAGGCGGGTAGGCGTCAAGACCTCTAGGTTCTGTCATTTCTTCCCAGAGGGGGTGACACTGGCAGACTTTGAGGGCCAAGCACAGAGCCAGGAAGGGCCACTGTTGCTCATACCTTTGTTCACTTCAGCATTCCTCTCCTGGCTTTGCAGGCAGCCCTCAGGTCTACACCCCCTCCCCCCCCCAGAGGGACCTTGGCCACCTTCTTTCTGCTTCCTCTGACCCTGGCTCTGAATCAGCCCCTGTGCTCTGCTCCCAAACTTGTGGCCGTGGACATGTTCTGGGTCTGCCAGGTCTCTGGCCACATCTGCTTCTCCCCTCCTCTCCCCTCCCCGCCCCATCCATCCACACGGTCCGCCTGACAGGTGGCCCCAGAGGGTCCCCGCTACAGTGACAATGGGGCTGGGCTGGGCTGGGCTGGGCTGGCCCCTGGTTCTTTCTTAACTCATGCGCCCATGAGCTGGCCTCCCTCACCTCCTCTCTGCTGCTCCACACTCCTGACATCTCTTTTCTAGAAGGGAGAGGCCAAGCAGGGCCTGTGGCCTGTGCAGTCACAGCGGGCCCAGGGCTCGGAAGGACCTCTTGCTTGGTTTAATGCTCTGTTGTTTAATTCTAAAGGGAGTCCCACAGTTTTATTTTGCACCAGGCCCCACGGATTACGTACCAAGGTCTGCTCCAAGGGACGGACCTGCTTCAGGCAATGGCCAGAGGGTGGGTCCCCAGGGCAGAGCACCCCCGCCTTTAGCCATCACCAGCTCCCCGGAGGACTAACCTCATCCCCGTATCTTTTCCCCACCTTCCCCACGTCCCCCTCCGCTCAGAAGCCCTCCCGGCTCTCATCACCTCTCTGTGAGGGCCCCCCAGAGGACGAGCACATTAGTGGGCCATGTCTTCTCCAGGCATCTCTCCGTCTCAGACTTGGGGTGGGGGCTCAGAGGAAGACAAGGGCGTCCTCAGATCCATGTGTTTACCCCAGATAGGTACGACTCCTGGCAAGTAGCCCTCTGGACGCCTCAGAGCAGATGAGGCACAAGTCTGTTTAAGCCATCCGTGGAATTCACACTAGCCTTTGGCCCACATGGGTTTTCTTCAGGCAGCGGCTACAGCTGCTTTGCCCTCATGGGCCCTGGAGACATGCATGAACTCAGGTGGCAGAGGGTTAGAGCTCTCCCCCACCCCAGAGCAGCCTGGCACAATGTAGCCAAAACAGACGGGTCACTTGCAGAAGCCTGGAAGCACAGGGAGCATATAAGCGTCGCTGCAAACGTTTAGCCACACCGGGCTCCTTGTGACATTGTTTACAAAACCAAATGTGGAGAGAGCTAAATGGCCAGCAGTCGGGGGCCAGTCAAGTAAATGAGGTTACCTTTCTCCTGGGGGACACCAGACAGCCAAATCAGCTTTGTTAAAGAGGGGGTGGGTGCAGAATCAGATTTGAGTGGAGCGCACAACATGGGCTTGGCTTCCTTGCTCTACATGTGGAAGAATCAATACCATGGTGTTGGGCTCTGGGTTTTTCTTCTTTCTTCTCCCTGACTCTCTTGGCTCCTGGTGGCTAGTCACCAAGGGGTCAGAGACACTTGACTTCCCGAGGATCTGTCCCCTGCCGCCACCCCTCTCACTACCCAAGCCCCACCGCCTCTCTCCTGCAAGACTTGCCTTGGCTTCCTGTCTTGCCCCTGCCCCTCCCGCCCCAGTTCCATTCAGGCCCCTCCATCCAGTCTCTTAGGGCAGCCCGAAGGACTTGTTCAAAATGGGAGTTGGATCCTGTCTCCTTCCCTATTTAAAAATCCTTGACAAATTCCCCATTTCTATTAAGATGAACACCAAACCCTTGAACCGGCCTTCAGGGCTCTCTGTGTGGCCACCCTCACGGAGCACCATCCTTCCCCTCTTACCTCTGCGTTGCAGCCACTCCAGTCTCCTCCCACAGTCATATACAGAACAGAATCTCTTCTGCCACAGGGCCTTTGCACGTGAGTTTCCCCCAACCCAGAACACTCCACCCTCCTCCCCTCTTCACCTAGTTAACTCACCCTTGCTTTCATCACTTTCTCGGGACACCTTCCCAGACAGGTCAGCTCTCCCCGTATCTCTTCTAGCCCCAGATAACCCCTCCCTCACCCTCTCTGCCCTTCCCACAGTCGCAGCTACAACTGAGTTCTGAGATCAATGCCTGTCGCTTTCACTAGACCATGAACTCCTCAAGGGCCGGCTTGTTCTCATCATGCCCCGTGCCTGGCACAGAGTAGGTGCTCACATGTTTGTTGAATGAGTCAATGAACCAGGGAGGGAAGGCTGGCTCAAGCACTCAGCCTCCCCTCCCTGGCTGGCTAGCAGGCCCGTCCAGGGACCAGCCTGTCAGACCTGCTATTAGCATATCACACGAGTGCTCAGGGAAGGCAGCCTGGGGGACCCAGGAGAAGTGCCCGCAGAGCCATGGGCTGGGAGGCGGGGCTGGAACGCTGCCTCCTTCCGGAGGGCTGCTCTCTGCATCCATCGGAAATTGCCCCTGGCCCAGCCTCCTTTAGAGGAAGCAGAGGGAGCAAGGGGGCCCCATCTCCTTCCTCTCCAACCCCTTCCTGGTCGGTCCCCTTTGATGTGAAGGTTCCTGGGGAGGCTGGTTTGTGTCACTGTGGAGCTGGGGGAGGGAGACAGTCTGGGGCCTTGGCTTAAGTGGTGAACTGACCCCGATCTCTGTGCCCTTGGAGGGCAGAGGGCCTGGGGCTCCCACAAACGCCAGCATCCCACCAACACCATTTGAAAAGAAGTCATCAGTATGAGGACTGCGGCCGGTTTGCTCAGCGTTCTGGGGACTCCTCGAGCCTCCAGATTTCACCTCCTCTGACGCTGGCTCTATCAAGCCCGCCCTTTTCCCAAGAGCGGTGGGGAGGGCGGGTGAGGAACTTGCAGGTGGCCTCCTAGGGGACCAACATGGACAAGGATTCCCATCCTTCTAGGTAATGTCAAGGCCCCAAGAAACAGAGACCGCATGGTCCCCAGTTCAAGTTCTGACATGACTGCGTCATCCTGAACAGATTCTTCTATTTACTGGGCCTCGGTTTTTCTACCCGTGAATTGGGGATTGCAGTATATACTCTGGATTGCTACTGTGAGGTTTAATAGGCTGGTACGGTGTTTCCCCAAGTGTGGACTCACACCAGCATGGTAAATAGGATGATGTGGGTCACACTCCACAGAACAGCCTGAACCAACCTGGGTCGCACAACAAGAAAGCAATTGCCTGTTCATTTTTCTTTTCACCCTCTGCCGGTTGCCAAGGAAAGTGTCAGACAAGCGCTGGTGTAGGTTTAGTACCCACTCTAAGAGCTTGTCAGGCAGGCCATGCTAGCCAGCATGTATTTAATGCATTTGTTTTATTTTTTAGGCATTTTATTTATATAGATTGTTCGCAAGGCAAATAGAAAAATGTAAGGCGATTTAAAGAAAAAGTATTGAGCCAATAATAGTACAAGAGATGCTTGAATCGGGCAAAAAATTGCCAAGGGGCTGGAGTGGCTGGGCTATCCTGTTGTGGTGCGGGTGAAAATACTTCGTAAACTCTCAAGTGATGTACCAACACGGGAGCAGGGGTGAGGGACCGAAAGGGTCAACTCAGTAGAAGGGCTTTGCAGGGAGAAAATCTCAGGCCTGAGGGGCTAAGGTCAGAGTGTACTATAAATGATTTAAAAATATAACACGTGATAAAGCCCCCCTTCCATTCTGTGCACAAGGCACTGGGCAGATCCTTCCACAAATAGTATTTCATGTCACCTTCATTGTTCCCGTTTCTGGAGGAGGAAATTGAGGGTCCAGATGGTGAAGGGTCTTGCAGCAGAGCTGGGATGGACCCCCAGAGGCTTCCCCGCCTCTGTCATCAGGATTATCAAGTGCCTGTGAATGCTCCCTCCTTCCTGCGCTCTCCTGGCCGGACGCCCGGGTGAGGCCGGTCCTGAGGCTTGGGTTGTCCTCAGCCTCACAGCGGTGATGAGAATCCCGTGGAGGAGCCCTTCCAGAGAACTGCGCCCACACCTCCACCCTCAAAGAGCCCCATCCGAGGGAGGGTAGGGAGTGATCACATCCCTTAACTCCAGCTAACATTTTGTACTTAAACAAGTTTTTTCTTTCTTTAGGATTTATTATTATTTACTTACTTGAGAGAAAAAGAAAAAGAGCAAGAGCGCGCACGTGGTGGGAAGAGTAGGAGAGGGACAAGAAGACTCCACGCTGAGCGCAGAGCTGGACTTGGGGCTCGATCTCACAACCCTGAGATCATGACCTGAGCTGAAGCCAAGAGTCGGACGCCTAACCGACTGAGCCACCCAGGCGCCCCTTAAGCCGCTGTTTTAATTGAGAAATTCCCACCTGGCCATTGTAGGAAATTTCAGAAACCAACAGACGACAATAAACAACAGCTATGGATGAGGACTGACCTGTCTGGGGATACCCCTTCCCAGGTGCAGGGTCCCCTTCCAATGGCTTTGTATGTATGTCCTCAGAATTGGTCACCCCCACTTTACAGACGACAAAACTGAGGCACAGAGGAGCTGGGTAAGTTGCCCCAGCAGTGAAAGCACGGCTGGAACTAGGTGGTTGGTTCCAGAGCCCACACGCCTAAGCCACTGCCCGTCTCTGCCTGGAGCCCTCCCATCCTTCAGAGTGCAGCCCTCGGCAGGCCACATGGGGTCTGCAACCCCTCCCCCTCCATCAGCAGAGGGAAATAGAGTCACAGAGCTGAGGTCACACAGCCAAGCCCTTGTCCCTTATCCACTGCCCAAATGTCCCTGGGCAGCTCATCCTGACCAGAGTTGCCGACTGCCTGGGCTTTGGTGTTCCCTCCCAGCCCGGGAGGACCAGGGGAGCTAGAGAAGGAAGGAAGGCCCTGGGTATGGCCAGTGTTTACAGCCCAGGAGTAGAGCTGGAGGGGCAGTCCTCTCTGGCTCTCCCTTGTAGCTGCTCCAGTTCATTCTCTCCCAGATCGATCAGGCCCCAAGCAACTGAAACCCTGAGAATGCCCAGGCAAGAAGCAAAGCTGGTCTCCCAACCAAGAAGGAGTATTGGCTGCAGAATGAAAATATTAGAAATTAAAATGAAAATATTAGAAATTAAAATCAGTCCGCCTGGTGAGGCTGAGCGGCCTTGTAGCTCAGCAGGCTTGGGTCTGAAAGAGCTAATAAAGCAAACACAACCGGAGATCAGGATGCTGCCCAGCCCTGTCCCGGCCCCAGGCCCAGCATCTATGCCAGACTGAACAGGGCTGGAGACCCCCAGCCGTGAGCTGGAGAGCTGCACCCACTTGGCACCAACCTCTCCTGGTCGGCGCTGGAGGATGGAGCTGGGCATTCACTCATGAAGTTGATTTTAAACTTGAGGACACTGAGGGTCTGGGAAGGGAAAGGATTTGCCAATGTCCTCACAGCCGGAGGCCTCCAGGCTCCATGTAAGGCTCTTCCCCATGACCCACCGCACCCCAACCTCCCCTCTCCGCACCTACACCCAAGGGTTGAACCAACACCCCCCAGGTACAACGTCTGAGTTCAGATTTGGAAACCAGATCTTAGATTGTTCAGAGTAGTAGTTCGCAAATACTTGATTTGGGGTAGCACGTGGATGAAACAGTTCCATATTTTGAGATGTGGTGTGTGTTAATATAATAGAATCTGTGATAATGTGATATTGTGATACGTGTGTGCGTGTGTTTGTAATCATACAATATGTACTCTTTTTGTCTGCCTTCTTTCACTTTCAGCATAATTATTTAATCTAATTTATTTTTTTTTAAGTAGGCGCCACACCCAGTGTGGGGCCCAACGCGGGGCTCGAACTCACAACCCTGAGACCATGCGCTGAGCTGAGATCAAGAGCTGGACGCTTAACCGACTAGGCCACCCAGGTGCCCTTCAGCATAATTATTTTAAGATTCATCCATTTCGTTGGAACTATCAGTAGTTTGTTCTTTTTATTACTGTTGTATTTTGCCGTATGTGTGGATCTATAAAATTAGCAAAAAATGCAAACTAATATCTAGCAACAGGAAGCAAACTGGTGATTGCCTGGGGACTGATGGGGTGAGGGAGGGCAGAGGAGAAATGAGAGGGAGGGAAGAAACTGGAAAGACGAATATATTCACTATCTTGGTTGCGCTGCTAAGTATATCTATATCAAAACGCATCACACCGTACATTTGAAATGTGTGCAGTTTATTATAACTCAGTTACACTTCAATAAAGCTTTAATGTATATATAATACACTATATATACATATATAGTACATTTTATATATATGTGTGTGTATATATATATTTTTATTTATATATATAAACTGGCACTCATCCAATCTGTGATTTGATGAATAGTATTACTTAATTCAAGGGCAGAGCAGGAGTGGTGTTTATGGGTTTTTTTAATTTAGTTTTTATTTTTTAAAACATGTTATTTATCCATTTGAGAGAGACAGAGCAAGAGAGAGCATGAGAGGGGGAGAGGAAGAAGCAGGCGGAGGGAGAAGCAGACTCCCCACTGAGCAAGGAGCCTGATGCGGGACTCGGTCCCAGCACCCTGGGATCACAACCTGAGCTGAAGGCAGACGCTTAACCAACTGAGCCACCCAGGTGTCCTGGTTTGTTTGTTTGTTTTTTCTTAAGTGAGTTGGCACTTTTGCTTCTGGAAAGATAAAGTAGTCCCACTCTTCTCTATTCCTCCAAATAAGTACAATTAAAAACCCTGGAACTTAGATGTAAAACAAATACAAGAAGACTCTGAACAACAGCACGGGGAAGGCAGACAGGCTAGGAAAGGTGGGACCCAAGCAAGAACATGTGGTGAGTTCCTTGGATTTTCGCTCTGCCTCGTACATTGCCCTCTAGATGCTGAGGCAGTCAGCCACCGGGAATTGCCAGTGGGCACAGACTAAAAGAAAGCTCCAACAAAAGCCTGCTCTATCTAGCCTGAAAAGGGGCATCCTGGCAAAACAGAGAACTTTTAGATGATAACCATCTACGCCAGCCAAAAACCACAGAAAAAAAAATGTGACCCCACCCTCACCCACACCAGCAAAGCCTCAATGGGGAGCCCAGACTTCCACCCTCAGCAGGCGTCCCCAACCAACAATGAGGCTCCCTGCTGCCATGTCAGTGGAGACCACATGGGGAGCTGACAATAATGAGGCACCTCTCTCCCTCTTCTCTGGGGTGGTATCGGAGGAAGTCTAGTGGAAACTCAGGACTTTCACCACTGCCCTGAAGAAGTGAGTCCACCTCCCCTGTGGTGTCAGTCAAGAACAACCCTACCCAACAAGAATGAGATCTGCCCTCCCACTTGTCAACAGAGGCCAAGTAGAGAATCTAGACTTCTATCTCCACTTGGCTGTAACCAGGTGCTGGCTGGCCCCCACCCCCCATCCCCTGCTGGAGCAGAATCAGAGAATACCAGCTAAAACAGAAAGTTTAAATAAGATCTAGAGTCTCATAATATGAAAGTGTCCAGATTTCAAAACATCACTAATACCAAGAATCAGAAAGATCACAAATGAATTAAAAAAAAAGACAACCAGGGCGCCTGGGTGGCTCAGTTGGTTAAGCGACTGCCTTCGGCTCAGGTCATGATCCTGGAGTCCCTGGATCGAGTCCCGCATCGGGCTCCCTGCTCGGCGGGGAGCCTGCTTCTCCCTCTGACCCTCCCCCCTCTCATGTGCTCTCTCTCTCTCATTCTCTCTGTCTCAAATAAATAAATAAAATCTTTAAAAAAAAAAAAAAAAAAAGACAACCAAGGGGCACCTGGGTGGCTCAGTTGGTTGAGCGTCCAACTCCTGGTTTTGGCTCGGGTCATGATCCCCAGGGTCATGAGATCAAGCCGTGTCAGGCTCTGCACTCATCGGGGAGTCTCCTTGAGATCCTCCCCCTCTCTCTCTTCTCCTTCACCTGCTCATTCTCTCTCTCTAAAATAAATAACCTTAAAAAAAAAAAAAAGACAACCAAGAAATTTCAAAACTGAGATGACAGAGATGTTAGAATTTTCTGACAAAGTGTTAAAGCACCCATAATTTTAAAAAATGGTTCAATGAAACAAATGAAAATATAAGTCTCAGTAAACAAACAGAAGGTGTAAAGAAAACTAAATAGAAATCTTAGAACTGAAAAGTACAATCACTGAAATAAAAAACTCAGTGGGTGGGCTCAACAGCAGGATAAAGGAGACAGAGTGAACTGGAAGATGGAACAATAGAAATTGATCAGTTTGAACAACAGAGAAAGTAGACTGAAAAATAATAATAAAGAGGAACAGAGCCTCGGGGACTTGTGGGATTGTAACAAAATATTTAATACTTGTTTTATCAGAGTCCCAGAAGGAGAGGATAAAGAGGGCAGGTCTGAAAAAGTACTTGAAGATCATGGCTGAAAACTTCTCAAATTTGGTAAAGGATATAAACCTACAGATTCAAGAAGCTGAATGAATGCCAAAGAGGACAATCCAAACAAAGCCACTGAGAAACATCAAAATTAAACTTCTGAAAGCTCAAAGATGAAGGAAAACATCTTGAAAGCAGCCAGAAGAAAACAAGACCTTACATATAAGGGAAAAGCAATTGGAATGACAATAGATTTCTCATCAGAAACCATGGAGGCCAGAAGGAAGGGGCAAAATAATTTTTAAGTGCTAAAAGAAAAGAACTGTTAACCCAGAATCCCATACCCATTGGCAGTGTTCTTCAGGAATAAAAGAAAATCTAGACATTTTCAGATGAAGGAAAACTAAGAAAATTTATACCTACCCTAAAAAAAAAAAAAAAAAAACCCAAAGGGAATTCTCTAAACAGAAAGAAAACAACAAAGGAAGGAGCCTTAGAACATCTCCCAAGAGGGATGAAAGAACACAGTAAGCAAAAATGTGGGCAGGGGCGCCTGGGTGTCTCAGTTGGTTAAGCGACTGCCTTCGGCTCAGGTCATGATCCTGGAGTCCCGGGATTGAGTCCCGCATCGGGCTCCCTGCTCGGCAGGGAGTCTGCTTCTCCCTCTGACCCTCCTCCCTCTCATGCTCTCTGTCTCTCATTCTCTCTCTCTCAAATAAATAAATAAAATCTTAAAAAAAAAATGTGGGCAAATGCAATCATCTTTCTTTTTCTTCTTGAGTTTTCTAAACTATATTTGACAGTTAAAGCAAAAATTATTACACCACCTGGTGTGGTTCTAAAATATATAAAGAGAGGGGCACCTGGGTGGCTCAGTCGTTAGGCATCTGCCTTCGGCTCGGGTCGTGATCCCAGGGTCCTGGGATCGAACCCCGCATCGGGCTCCCTGCTCCATGGGAAGCCTGCTTCTCCCTCTCCCATTTCCCCTGCTTGTATTCCCTCTCTCACTGTGTCTCTCTCTGTTAAATAAATAAATAAAATCTTTAAAAAAAATAAAAATAAAAATAAAATAAAATACATAAAGAGAAAAACTTAAAAACAAATTATAAATTGGGAAGGGTAGAGTGACCTAAAGGGAGGTAAGATTTCTCTATTTCACTCAAACTGGCAAAATGATCATACCAGTAGACATCAAATTATAGACAATGCAATACCACAGCAACCACTAACAAGCTGTACAAAAAGATACGCTCAAAAACATAATAGGTAAACCGAAGTGGAATTGTAAGAACTATTCAAGTAACTCATGGGAAGGCATGAAAAAGAAAACACAAAAACAAAAAAAAAGAACAGACAAAACAGAAAATGAAACAGCAGATTGAAGCTCTAGCCTATCAAGAATTACACTAAATGCAAATGGTCTAAATACACCAGTTAAAAATTAGATATTTGCCAGACTGGATTAAAAACCACAACCAAATATATGCCCTCTCCAAGAGACTCACTTCAAATGTAATAATATAGGCAGATTGAAAATTAAAGAATGAAAGAAGTTGTATCATGAAAACACGAATCAAAGGAAAGCAGGAGTGATTATATTAATATCAGCTAAAGTAGACTTCAGAAGAAAAAAAAATTAGAGAAGGACAGTATACACTACTAAAAAGATCAATCTGTTGAGAAGATATAACAATTCTAAATAAGTATGTACCAAACAACAGACCTGCCAAATATGTGAAACAAAAACTGCTAGAACTTGGGGTACCTGGGTGGCTCAGTTGGTTAAGCATCTGCCTTCAGCTTAGGTCATGATCCCAGGGTGCTGGGATAAAGCCCCGCATTGGGCTCCCTGCTCAGCGGGGAGCCTGCTTCTCCCTCTGCCTCTAGCATTCCCCCTGCTTGTGTTCTCTCTCTTGCTCACTCTCTCTCAAACAAATAAAATCTTAAAAAAAACTAATAAAACTGAAGAGAAATAGGCAAATCCACAATAATAGTTGAAGACACCAATAGCCTTCTCTCAACTATTGATGGAACAACAAGTTAATCAGCAAGGATATAGAAAAACTCAGTGACACCATCACCAAATATCCAATCAATATTTATATGACAATCCACTCAAGAAATTAAATGCTTTTCTTCTAAGATTAAGAAGAAGGAAAGGATGTCAGGTCTCACTACTTTTACTCCACATAGTGTTGAAAATTCTAGCCAATGCAAAAAGGTAAGAAAAGGAAGTAAAAGACATACAGACAAGAAAGAAAGAGGGCGCCTGGGTGGCTCAGTTGGTTAAGCGACTGCCTTCGGCTCAGGTCATGATCCTGGAGTCCCGGGATCGAGTCCCGCATCGGGCTCCCTGTGGAGCAGGGAGCCTGCTTCTCCCTCTGACCCTCCCCCCTCTCATGTGCTCTCTGTCTCTCTCATTCTCTCTGTCTCAGATAAATAAATAAAATCTTTAAAAAAAAAAAAAGAAAGAAAGAAAGAAAACTCTCTATGTGAAGATGACATGATTATGTAGAGAATCTCACAATGATGCTGGAACAATTGGACATCCACAGGCTAAAGGGGAAAAACAACATCAACCTATGTCTTCTACCTCCTACAAAATTTAACTCAAGATGGATTGCAGACTTATATGTAAAACACAAAACTATTGAACTTTTAGAATAAAACAGGAAAGAATCTTTAGGATCAAGCACTAGGCAAAGAGTTCTTAGACTTGGCTTCAAAAGCACAATCCATCGAAGGGAAAGTTGATAATTTGGACTTCATTGAAATTTTCAAATTTTGCTTTGTGGAAGATCTTGTTAAGTGGATGAAAAGACAAGCTACAGACTGGGAGAAAATATTTGTAAAACACATACCCAAGAAAGGACTAGTATCTAGAATATATAAAGAACTCTCAAAACTCAACAACAAAAAAGCAAATAATCAAACTAGAATATGAACAAAAGACATGAAGAAATATTTCACTGAAGATGGCACACAGATGGCAAATTAGCACATGAAAAGATGTTCAACAACATCAACCATTAGGAATGCAAATTTAAACTGTAATGAGATATCATGACACATTTATCAGGATGGCTTTAAAAAAAAAAAGAAGAGAGGTAGTGACAACCATAAATGCTGGCAAGGATGTGCAGAAACGGGATCATTCATACATTGCTGGTAGGAACGTAAAATGGTATAGCCGTTCTGGAAAACAGTTTGGCAGGTGGTTTTTTTTTTTTTTAAGTAAACCCAATTACCATATGACCCAGTAATTGCACTCCCAGGCATTTATCCCAGAGCAATAAAGACTTATGTTTGCACGAAAACCTGTACATGAACGTTTATAGCAGCTTTATTCATAATAGTCCCAGACTGGAAACAACCCAAACGTTTTTCAATGGATGTATGAATAAACTGTGGTACATCCATATCATGGAATACTACTTGGCAGTGGAAGGAATGAACTATTGATACATGCAGCAACTTGGATGAATTTCCAAAGAATTATGCTGAGTGAAAAAAAGCCATTCCCCGAAGATCACATACTTACGATTCTAATTTTATAACATTCTGGAAATGACCGAAGTATAGAAATAGGGAACAGATTGGTGGTTGCCCGGGGTGAAGGAGGGGTGAGAGTGTGAGAGTGGGAGGGCAGTGGTTGTGGCTATAAAGGGCAACATGACAGATAGACCTTGGTGGGGATGGAAACGTTCCGTATCTTGACTGTTTCAATGTCAGTATCTGGGTTGTGATATTGTACTCTAACACAGATGTCACCATTGAAGGAAACTGGGTGAAGGTCCATGGATCTCTCTGCACTGTAGCTTACAATTTCATGTGACTCTTCAACTATCTCAAAACGTTTAATTAAAAAAAATCTTTAGGGGATGCCTGCTGAGTGGCTCAGATGGTTGGGCATCTGCCTTCGGCTCAGGTCATGATCCCAGGGTCCTGGGATCGAGCCCCACATCGGGCTCCCTGCTCAGTGGGGAGTCTGCTTCTCCCTCTCCCACTCCCCCTGCTTGTGTTCCCTCTCTCACTGTGTCTCTCTCTGCCAAATAAAAAAAATCTTTAGGTGACAATAGTTCACACAGAGAGTAGATTGGGTGAAAATGATGAAGATGGAGAAGGAAGATATATATAGAGAAAGAGAGCGCGCGCGCGCGCGCACACACACACACACACGAGCGAGCAGGGGGAGGGGCAAAGGGGGAGGGAGACAGGGAACCTCAAGCGGACTGCCTGCTGAGAGCAGAGCTACATGCAGGGCTCAGTCCCACGCCCCTGAGACCATGACCCAAGCTGAAATCAGTAGTGGGACACCTAACTGACTGAGCCACCCAGGCACTCCAAGAAGATTATTGTGAACACTTTTGTTGTGGGGATTGTTGGCCAAAAGTCCTCCAGAGGTTTCTGTCAAAAACAGTTTGCTGTAATGGATCAAGTCTGGGGGCTCTGTAGGCTGGGTTTTGAGGCAAAGCAGGTGGGGTCAAGTTTGGGAGATGCATGGGGAGTTCAGAAGGTCGAGACCCAGGCCAGCTTGGCCAGCAGGGACCAGTGCAGCTGCTTCCTCCCCTGGCCCTGTGGGGCTGGTTAGCTCAGGCCCAGGGTGGGAGGCTGCTGGGGGTCCTGGGGGCACCCTTGGTGGTCCCAGGCACCACAGTGACTATGCAGGGAAATGTTCAGGGAAAGGGAAGTAGCCCACTAAGAAGCTCCCTGGGCAAGCCTGGGCAAGGCTGAGGCCCAGTGTCTTAGAGGCAGGGGCATGGACGCCCCGGGTGAGTGCGGTGGTTCTTGGTTTCTCCATGCCTTAGGCCTATCTCTCTGAGGACACCTGGACCAGGCTTCCACCTGGAGGCATTTTCCTTTCTCAGGGTTCCTGTTGTCCAGCTGTGGCCTTTTGTTTCCTTGTTGTTGTTGTTTGTTTTGGGGGTTTTTTTTGGTTTGTTTTTGTTTTTTGGTGGGCAGCAAAGCAGGTTTATCGAGCAATAGCAAAGTGATGGTACAAAGCTCTGAGGAGGGGGGGACCTGAGAGCGTTGCCCTTTTGTTTTGTTTTGTATATTTGATCTAAAGCAGCCGGATAGCGTGCATCAGAATCACCTAGGAGCTTGATAAAAAACAGACTTGTGGGCACTACTCCCAGAGATTCTGATTTCACCTGGGGTGGGGCAGGGGGTTTGCATAGCTAATAAGTTTCAGAGTGATGCTGGTGATGATCCTTCTGGCCCCGGGAGCACACTTTGAGAACCACTGGTGTCCTGGGGTGCAGACAGGAAAACCAGAGGGGTGAGACCTTCCCTCCCCGGGAAGTTCCCTAGGTCCTCACCCCTGCTTGGCACAGCTGAGGGGGCCTGTGGTTGGGGATTCCAGCAGGCCAGCCACCGGACACCGCACGACAGGCCTGAGGGGCAGGAGGGGAGTGCGTGCGCTGGGGGGTGACACGGAGGAATGGGGTTTGGACTTA